GTGTGTGTGTGTGTGTGTGTATTTAAATATGTAATAATAGTATTCCAATTAATACTACTTATGTGTACTCATTTTTTAATAATGAAGTTGATTAAATGCAATTTTCGAAATGCATAAGTTTCTACGTGGTAAGCGAAATTACTATATTATTTCTAGCAAGAAGAGAAATTTTATATCTTTTTATGCACGGGAGGGACGATGTTGGCACACTACATTGGGTGGTCGATATGTTTTTCCGTCGTTTGTCGAACCATTCTCTTCTTCTTTCCCTCGCTTCCCTTCGGTATTTTTTACATGGGTTGGTAGTTCATACGCTGTACGTGACATCACCAGGATATATGTTATCCGGCGTGGCGAGCGAATATGATAGCGTAGTGAAAAGCTGGCGCACCTTTTACAAGCCGGCGCGGGTGGACTCAAAAAAAGTTTATTATTCGTTAGCGATCCCGGTGACCTACGGGCGAATCCAGGATATGTGACTCGGGTGCTTACGGATCGAGCGAGCGAAAATTCACAAACGTGCGTTGACCCACTTGTCGCTGCCTGGTCGATGAAATTCGATTCTACGATCGCACGTCGGGCTTTCGCCGCGCTCTACACGTCGACGCGCATTAATAGAATCTAACAACAGCAGCAGAAAATATGACGATCGTGTAAAACCACGCTTACGACAGCATCAGCGGAAGATTGATGGAGTTACGTTTCCACATGAATCAATTTCTATTCGAAATCGATCGGCTCAGAAATATCTGGCCAGGATGTGAAGAATAAAATCGGATGTAACACATATGTAATGTCGTGAATGAATCCTAAAAGGAATATAGTTTGACGATTATTATATCTTCGATTTATCTTCGACATTACGTATAAGAAGAAGTAAAATCTGTTTAAATACATTAGAATATACAATACGAGATATTCTAGGTTTTCTCTTGAATTTCAATAGTATATTCTATGAACTGAAACAAGACAAATGTATTATACAAACATAGGTCCTTTATTAAACAGTTATAATAAAAATATGAAATGTGTAGAAACAATTTTGAATTTATCATCTTTTTTGTGAGGATAGGGAAATCATTTTATAAGAATTCAAATTTATATTGACATGGAACATTTTGAAATGCAAACTTAGATAAAATTATTTTTTACACGTTTCATATTTTTGTTATAACTTTTTAATAATGCATTTTGGGATCTATGTTTATATAATGTTTTTTTTCTTTCATAGAAATGTTAAAATTTGTATGGAAAAATTTAGGACCTGTAAGAATATATCGCTCATTTCCTGCACGACGTAATTCCAAAATTCTTATTTTTTTATGGTGTTGCTTGTAAAAAAACGAATGGAAAAATAAAGAAAAAAGAAAGATCATACTTTTCCTGATTACAATCAGATATTACAGCAAAATTGCGTTTTAAAATTAACTCTAATTGGTATTTGCTCCGAGATAACTGATATTCGTGGAACCAGTGTGTACTTTAAATTAAAGTCTAATTAATGTATTGGTTAAAATTAAATAAACATAATTGAACAATTTTCTTTCAGTTTGAAAATCAAGATCTGTAATAATAAGAATAAGACTGTAACTGAAAATTATATGAGGTAAAAAACATTTCTTTTAAACAATTTTTCACAATGTAGTTAAAGAAGATATCCAGGTCCACTGAATGATCTGCAAATAGCGATTGGAATTACAAAATTTTAATAATTCAATACATTTTGGAAAAATTTTTTCCAATTGTGTCGTTGTTATAGTAAATTAACATATTTTTTATCACGCGTGCAATCATTCCATGTAAGAAGCCACACGAGACGCATTGAATCTAATGTGTTTAAACAGATCTCACTTCACGATTGCAGAATATTGTCATCCACGAGGAACTCGTTTCATCGCCATGAAATATTTACGAGGTGCGAACAGGTGTGTGTGTGTGTGTGTGTCTGTGTGTGTGTGTGTGTGTGTGTGTGTGTGTGTGTGTGTGTGTGTGTGTGTGTGTGTGTGTGTGTGTGTGTGTGTGTGTAGTAGCGACACGCAGAGCGAAATGTGTAACACTCGGATGTGTAACCCAGATGACCATACATAGAGGAGGCGGAGAACAAAGCTTCCGGCGTGCACGGACGTCGTCTATTATTTGCGATATAAAGTGCAACATTATCGAACGGTCGTGTCTGCAGGCCGTGAATCCATTCGCCGGGGTTTCCCGTATATTTCAGCGTATTTTTCTTCCGTCGTGTCGGAGCCGCCTGTCCCTTCCGCACAACCCCCCTCCTCCCCCCCCCCTCAAACAAATGGCCGCGATATACATGGCTTCTGTAAATAGAGGCAAACGGCGTGAATTCGAGCGAGGAATACGAGCGATTTGTGCACACTCGGAATTATGATCGATACTGATAGATGCCTGACCGTAAATGTCTTACATACGCGATCGTAAAAAAAGAACGAGACGATTTTTGTATGCACGTGAATCGTGTCGTCGCTATAAAACCATTAACAATAGAGAGGAAACGAGAAGATATGTTCATACGCTACCATATAAATTCGAAACTGCTATCGAGATCGATAGTCTCGATTGGCGATTTTGCATTTTCTTAAACTGGGTCAAAATTTTGAGCGTCACAATATGTGATGTTAGATCGTTATTTTAAATTCTTTTGCTGACCTATTATTTAACTGACAGTTGAAATTTTTAACAGACAGTTCTCTCTCTCTCTCTCTCTCTCTCTCTCTCTCTCTCTCTCTCTCTCTCTCTTCTTCTCGTTTTCTGAGCACGATGGTTTATATATTCTCGTATTCCTTTTATTCCAGAGCTATAAATTCTTGATAAGAGATTCTGCGTGTTCATGGCTTCTGCTGTATCCAGCTGCGATCCGACACTGCGTGACAACTTCGCACAAAATAAAACAAGTTCGCCTGATAGTTTATTTTTTAGCAGATACACGTCGGGTTCACTTTACAACTACTCTCCCGGAGATATAAATGGTACTGGTTACGTGGCATATGTTATACAGGCGTGATTATTAAATTTTAACCAACGCGACAGTCGCAAAATCCTGAAATTTTATTTTGTTCCCTCTGCTTGACATTAAACGTAGCGTAGTAAATTAACACCAAACGTATTCCTGATAGTGGAATTGCGTGACGAGTATTTTGATTTTCCACGTGAACGCATTAACACTGACGCGTGTAATACGTTGTATATCCGACATCAAATATCTGGGTGAGACATTTCACGCTATGCTAACGTAAATGTATCCAACATCGCGACATTCACTGATTCGAATTTTATCCTGATTTATGATCCGAGTAATTCAAGATCCGGTCGATTTCAAGATACGCGGAATCGTCATGAATCGATAAATTGGATTATAGCTACGCATGGATAGTACAATTGCTATGGATAGTACAATTTGCATGTCAATATTAGAAAGATTCTTAAGATTTCGTCGGATGATTATGTTGTTTATGAGCAATCGATAATATGACAACCTGAATATCCATAATTTAGAATATCTATACTTTTTTTGCTAAGCAACATTTACATATTAATAATAAATTTATATTTTACAATATTATAAATAACAATCTGAGAAACAAATGAATGTTCCAAATATTACAGATATTGTGAATATTCATTTTTTATTTTTTATTTGTTTTACAGTATGAGGCTTTTAAATATTTAAATATTTAAGAAATACTAAATTAATTAAATATTAAAAAATTATTTTAATGGGAATGTTACGAGAGCTTATGGAAGATGGAATTGTATTAAATGTAATTTGATGTTATCAGAAACAAAACATTCTATTACGTTCTGTTACGTTTCTATCTAAAGATAATTAATATATGTTATCGAAATATATAATATATTACTTACCAGAAATTAACACAACGCGTATTTCAAGATTTAAGGATATTCAATAATTATATACATTAGCCCGAACCAATATTTGCATCATTATTGTAATAATGAATAAATGCGTGACTAATTTGAATCTCGATAGACCTCTGTGTTACATTTTCTCTTTTCTCTCTCATTATCAAAGCATTATTATATATCGGATGAATCAACAGACGGCTTTACACCAAAATTATCAAATAATATGGAAAGGATGATTTTGTTGAAGTATCTACAAGTTTAGCTAAATGCAGATCTGAAAATAATTTTGTTGAATCAATCAAATAATATAGGATGGTCAAACTGGTTGCTAGAATGTCAAAAACTTTGTATAATATTGCTCATCATATTTGAGATTTCTACGTAATTATTTTGATGATTCAATAAAATGTTCAGATCTGCATGTAACAGCGAATTCGATTTGATACACGCGATGTACATTAAAGCTATCGTATACAGATTGAAAAATGGTTGTTTAATATAATAATAAAGACATCGAAAAAAATAGTAAATTTTAATAAATATTTGTTTGAGTAGTTCCAAAGAAATGTTTACTGAACGTAAACGTACATTTATTTGATGCAAAAACAATGAATTTGACTATTTTAACTATCATTTTTTTATTGAATAAATATTTATTTTCTGTAAGTAAATGTAGTTCAAAGAAATATATATATATATTAAGATTTAATAAATTTTTTTTTAGTATACAGAAAACGAATTAAATCTTCAATGTATTTTTTTTTGTTAGGAAAAAAATATATTTCATAATTTGAAATATTTGCATTTCACTTTTAGTCAAACAAAATCAATATACAACGGCTTTAATATGCACCAGTGCGAACTAGTGCGTCCAATCGATTTCGCTATAAATTTAATAATTTTTAAATGGGTATTTCAGAAAAATCGTTTCATCCACGAAGAAATTATTTTGCCATTCTATCCGCATTTTGATTGATAAATAAATAAAAAAATTTCGTATTGTTCGTCACTCTATATAATTTTGGAAAAACATAAAACACAAATATTCCGTTCTACTTGATGATTTCCTCGCGTTATACATCACCATGGATCACTGACAGTGACGAGTGTTTACGTACTCACTTGTGCGAATCTCCGGCTGGTCGGACACGCTCTAACGGCGAGTATCCACGGGGATCACCACGATCAATGAATTAGATCAGTTGCGTTATCGATCAATCGGCGAACCGTCTGTGACGTCTCACTACGCTCTCGCGCGTGACTCAAAAGTGCGCGTTGCGATCCGATCCGATCCGAACCGATCGTGAGAGGATCACCAGCCGCTACGTTTTACTGCCTCACATTTACTACTACGCGGGACTAGCACATACTGGCTGACCGTCGGCCTGCCGAGAAGAAGGCCTTCTCTTTCTCTTTTCTCTCTCTCTCTCTCTTTCTCTCTTTCATGAGGTTTCCACCATAAAGCCGAACTGGAGTTCCCCTTCCCACCCCGAGCGCGCGACAATTCAATGGAAGAAAGTAGGCTTCGCCTGACCCTTCTTATTCCGTGAATCGACTTCACTATTACTCGCCACGAAAAAAAGACCTCGCCAAATGCGCCGACGTGCTTTCCACCTTGTGGAAAGTTTACGCGTGATGTTAAACTACTCGCCGGGAAACGCGATCTCGAGTCCACGCGTGCGTTATGCGGAACCATCTAAATTTAAACATCCACGCGAGAAGATCGCCTCGTCCGTTCTCCGTGCTAGGTTTGTGTGAATTCTTCTCTGATAAAGAATCACGCGCAACCTCGCAGCCTCGTTAATTTGTGGCAATTAATGGTAACGAATTCCGCGGCGTACCATTTTTGCAGCGAATTAAGAAATGTTGATTTCGTTCGGTGAACATTGCGATCTCGATTTTCGTGTTCAGTTTCTTTCGGCGTTGCAGCTTGTAATTTAAAATAGGATATCGAGAGAGAGCAAAATTTTTAAGAAGATACGATGCATTATTATTTTTTAATTGGAAAGAATTCCAAACTATTATATGATATTATATGGAAAATAATATAATTAATAAATTATAATATTTGGGTCAATGTGATGATACTCTTTACGTTTAGAGTAAATCTTTACTCCTGATGTTATAATGCACGATGTTAGTGTCATAATATAATGTTTAGCACAAAACTGATAGCTAAGATTATTTTATTTTAGATTTATGAGAATATTTATTTCGAAATAAAGTATTCCTCCATTAACAGGAAATGTTATTGTCTTTATATTGATCCTATTTTATAATAAGTCGAAAAATAATAGATTGGATTTGTAAATCTTTCCTGTAGATGCACTTTTGATATATCAAAAATTATTATTAACATTTATATCTATATCTTTTATTTATCACATTATAAGCTACATTACATGTGAAAATCAACTCATTTCACCGGATCCAATTTTTTTATATAGTGAATTTTTTTTTATTTTCTTTTTCCTTCTATTAAACAACTTATTCCTTATATTTCTAGATTTTTATGTGAAAGCGAAGAGATTGGAATAATTCGGGCGATTTTCTCAATTAATGGTATATTCTGTCTTTGATGTATTTTCTCATATTTTGTTATTTATCATTATATCCTTCTAAATTAAAGCAAAGTTGTCGCTTTAAAACTGAAACTGCATAAACGTACTGGATTTGCCGAAGTCGCTATCGTTATACGATGCACTACAGTTATTTTGATATAATTTCGCAAAGCGGAAGGGACATTGAATATTCTGCAGAAATTTCAGCAAGATAACTTGGGAACCAACGGGGCCGCGGTTATAATTTACCATTGCAAGACTTCTAACCGCATACCAGCACACAAAGAATTCTTGATTTAGTTGAATCTGACATCAAAGAGATTCTCTTTTCTTCTAACATATATCACGTCAACTTTGGGTAACATACAAAAAGTCTCGTGACTTTTGTAAAAATCACAAAGCGCAAAGAAATCGTAGAGAGTACCAATAAAGATAAACGTTAATAATAAAAAAAAGAGTGCAATAAAAAAAAGGCGGACAGAGATGTGTCACTGCGAAAGTTCGATTCTCTCCTGCAAGTGGTGATCCTTCGAATGTGACGAGATAATTATCGTAAATCAAACTGCGAAGTGGATATTGCGGAAAGTCGTAGAGAAGACCTCCGCGTTGTCGCTCGTAAACCGTTCCTTAACGGCGCTCAGGTTGCGAGTATTGCAAAGATAGTGGATAAGGAAGACAGCAAACTCGTATTCGACGAACGATCATGTAATCAACATACGTCACTAGCATTGTTAGTGCGTCTGCTATCAGCGTCAGTCGGCTTTTGCGCAGCAGTAGGTTAATTAGCGTAGTCCTCCGTGAAAATCGTGTAATAAGCAGGTTCGTTTTTTTGTTCGTGCGTGAAGGGATGAGGTAATGCAAGATAAATATCATAGGAGAGCCTGGGATTTTCTCATGAATCTCTTCAGAAACGTTCATTAAAATTCGGCGTCGATGGCACAATCGCGAGGCGTCAAAATACGCTGAGATGTCTGCAATTTCATATAAAGTGTAATAAATCTATCATAAAATAAATCGGTCATAAAATACCCCCATAAATCAAAAGATTTAACTTTTAGAGAATTGAAAAGAATGGTTCTAGTTTTTATAACTGTATTAAAAATATTTTAAGAGTGAAGAAAATGCTTCATTCATATCTCACACATTAAGGTATATCACTTTAAAAACTATCAAAAAAAAAACTAATTTTGAAAATATTGATTTATAATATTTCTGAAGCAAATGAATAAATTTGTACAGATGACATTTTAATTAGAAACTTCTGTAAATGTAATGATAGATTTATAAAGATGTTACAAAATAAATTGTGAGCTAAAAGAGGAAATTAATTTTATTGTTGAAAAATAGTTAATTAAAAACAACAAATTTGTAACATTGAATTACAGTATGCTAATGTAATTCATTATTGAGTGTATTTTAAAGTATATAATATAAGGAAAACAAGTCATCATAAGTCATTGTTACTCATGTGAATAACAGTTTCGTAAACCTGCTATTTAAGAATGCTTGATTAATGTAGGTTTTGAAGGAATTTGTGTATTTGTCTTACCCTGATTCTGAATTTCTTAATATCTCATTTAAAAAAAAAATTGATTTATGTATGAGATTCTGAAATGATTAAAAAAATCTTAGAAGAAGCCATTTTTTTTAAATAATATCTTTTCCTAAAAGATACGAAAGAAAAATATTCTTTTTATATTTTTGCGAATGTACATTGCGAATGTTGTTGCGAATAACACGTTGGTCTCGATAACGTTACCCGATATTATAACCAACTTCTAGCGGTGCAGTATTTATGCAATACATCTTTCCCTTTTCAATTTTCCGATTTACGAATAAGTTGAAGTTGAAGGAAATGCGAGCCTTTGAGGCACGCGCATGAAGTCCCATAAATTCTAATGCCTACCTTAAATATAATTTCATGTACAAGATTAAGCGAATTATGCGCGTTCGTGAACGTCTCGTAATTTACTCGTTTTCTTCTCAAAAGAGTGATAATGTAAAAGCCATGCGCTTCTCGTCTTGAACGTCGCGGCCGCAAATGGTAGGTACTTTATAATCATTAGCGTGAAATTCGATTCTCGACCGAGTGACGACGTGATAGCCGGAGAGCGTCTACGATCTCGTCTTGTGAGCGAGAGGATGGATGTTGTAGTAGGGAGGAAGGACAGATTGCATAGACTGTGAAGTAGAGATGCGAAAAGGGGGCACCATGTGTTATGACATAATTGCTTAAGAAAGTTCGGAATGCGAATACGCGCACATACGCGTGCAAACAGATAGACAAACAGACAGACACACACACACTTGTAGTGGAAGTAGTCCGTGTCGTTACGTTCGTTTCGCAAACTTGTTCACATCGTGTTATAATCGACATTTGTCTTTTTTAACTTCCTTCTGCACAGAAAAGGTGTATAATTGTAACATGGCCCAAGGCACCAAAACGTCGACACCTCGTCCTCTGGATTTTTACGATGCCAGTGACCTTCCCCTACTTTTCGAGCGCAGTCGGTTTCTTGTCTTTTCACTGCCCCGAAGGAAATCCGAAACTTTATTTACAAATCGAAAAAGAAGAAAGAATGTATTGCAAATGCAATATAACGCTGGAATTTTTTTTTATGAAAAAAGCTTTCGGGAAGATCAATGGTATCGGAAAGAACAGTCGATGCGGTTCACTACGTTGCGCGATGTCAAAAATAAAAGAGTGGAGTATATTTTTCTTTTGTACTTTTTAAATATATAAATATTATTTAGAAAAGTTAGCTTTCTCTTTTTACTTCCGGTATGTAGAATTATTTTCATGTCATGTTTTCAATTGCCGACGAATATAATGAGACTTAAAGACTCGCGCGAAATTTTACAATTTCCGTAATTTTCCTTTTCCCCTCGTTATTTATATATATATATATATATATTAGTGAATACATCATTTAAGAGCCATATAGCTGGAGAAAATTCATTCTGTACATTAAAAAGAAGTTGTTAATTTGATTAAATTAATTTAGTGAAGAATCTATGTATTTAAGTCAAACATATTACATTCAACTTAAATACGTTCTTCAACGAATGAAATAAGGACGAATTAAACTAATTTAATTAAATTAACAACATTTTTTTTCATTGAACAAATTATCTTTTCATAAAAAAAAATCATCCACATCAAACTGCACACAATAAAATACATATTGTATGCGAGTAATAAATGCTTATTTCAAGTATTTCAATGATTCATATATTCGTAAATTTATTATAAATTTACCACAAACATCAAATTTATTCAAAATATATTCTAAATCCTAGTAAATATTCAATACTTCAATCACAATTAAATTAAAACAAATTCGATTTATTATATAAAATCGCTTTTTTGATCAATTATAATATTCTTTAAAAGAAAATAAATTTTTATTTCGAGTACGTAATGATGAATTTTTCTAAAATTTGTAATAAGTGTACTTTAAGATTATTATCAAGAAAATATTCTTTATTAAAAATAACCGTTATTTAAAAGGAAGAAATTAAATTGAGTAATCATTTTTCATAGCAATCAAATGAAATTTTCTATTTGTATAGTATCTTTATCGGAAACGTTTTATTACCGCATTTTTGTCGCAATGTAATGATGAATTTTTCTAAAATTTGTAATAAGTGTACTTTAAGATTATTATCAAGAAAATATTCTTTATTAAAAATAACCGTTATTTAAAAGGTAGAAATTAAATTGAGTAATCATTTTTCATAGCAATAAAATGAAATTTTCTATTTGTAGTGTAGTATCTTTATCGAAAACGTTTTATTACCGCGTTTTTGTCGCAATGTTAAATAAATATAGCGTATCTTTCCTCAGGTTCCATCCACTATCCAATCTCGTTTCGTTAGGCAACCGAGGTGCATGATTATCCGGTAAAACACGTTCATTTTTGTTTCCGGTTCAAGGCGACCGGTTCGCTCAATCATGGTACGCGTAAAACGGGGCTTGCAGATGGAAAGGGCAAAACCGGCCACCGAACTATATTCCACAGGCCGTTGCTCCATGTAACTGTGCCCTGACCACCCACCGGCCGTCATAACCGCCGTTTCGTGCGCCAAAGTGCACGGCTGCGGTGTAAAATAATTAAGCATCGGCTTACAATGTTACGGTGTCGGTTTGTTCCAGCGTGAACTCACAGTTCGCCGATACCCGTAAATCGGCTATCCCGTTCGAATGCACTGCGATTTTCATTCGGCAGAGTGCATTATGGATTATGAGTCGATTTCATGTCACAATCGCTGGCCGGTTGAAGAAAAAAAGAAAGAAATAATCGCGCAATAATTCACACCGCGGTTTTGCGCGTACAAATGAAGCCTGATTTACCGTCGTATTTTTATAGTCTTAACTTAAGTATTTTTATAGACTTCTATTACTTTTGAATCTCGCCTCAAGGACGTATTGGATGAAATACTTAGAATGTAGGTCGGTATTTTGAGCCGCGAACAGTTCGATCATTAACTTTTATCGTAGCATAATTGAGGTTATTTGTGTGAGAAGTTTAATTATGAATTAAAACCTGAAATTTAATTTTATATTCGATTCTGATTGAAATAGAAATAATTATAATATTAAGATATATTTGAAATATACGTTTTTCAAATTGATGTCAGCATATAACGTTATAGTTATCTTGAGTTTCAACAACTGTCGTGAGACATAACATATCTTAAAACTGGTCTTAGTTTCTCAGTAGAAGCGCTATATATAATCTTATATTTATGTTAAAACAATTTAAAAGTTAGCTTTTACACCATTTATCTAACGGATCTGCAATATCTGCATGCTGATTATTTTAGAGTCTTGTCAATTTTATTGACGTAAATAAATTATTATTGATACGTAAGTAAATATATTATTGACGTAATTAAATATTAATAAGTTAAATTATCTATTAGTAATAAGGCTCATAATTTTTAAAAACCAAAGAAAAAGGAACTACAAGCAAAAATTATTATATAAAATAAAATAAATCGTCGAAATATAGAAGTTGAACAAAAATAAAAGAAACAAATATATTGTTAAGTAAAAATTTAATCTAACTGCAATAAATATATATGTTTAACATTGAAAATGATCCGAGTGTCGAAACGTTTGTTTACTGTTATATTAGATTAAATTTTTACTTAACGATATATTTGTTTCTTTTATTTTTGTTCAACTTCTATATTTCTACGGTTTATTTTATTTTATATAATGATTTTTGACTCGTAGTCTCTTTTTTTTGTTTATTAATAAGTTAATTTAGATTATATGAATAAATCAAATAAGAAGGGAAGGACCAATATAGTTGAGGTTGAGATCTTGATGTTTAATAATATTTTTATAGATATGTAAATTCTAAATACATCTTTTAATTGTATAAACTGCGCGCCACTTACTGTCGGACTTGAAATATAATACAATTATAAACTGAAGCTGAAATAATATTACAATTAAATTGATTCTCGATTTAATAATGATGCTACTAATATCTTATCTCATTTACAGTATTTTAAGATGTTAATAACCTCATTACTAAATCGATGATTAATTTAATTGTGATATTATTATTTTAGCTTCAATTTATGATTGCATTTTAAATTCGACAGTAAGAACAATTTATATAACTGAAAGATGTATAATATTTAAAATTGAGATATAAAAACATTAGATACTAAGATCTAGCCTCGACTGTATTGGCCTTTTCCTTATTTATAATTTAAATTGAACACATTTATTTTGGAGAAGATAATAAGTTCTTTAATGAGCACTCAGAGAGAACAGTATTGTATCTGTTTGCATGAATGTCGTAATTAAATCTTGTAGAAAATATGCTATTCTGAACTAAACGCAGTTGGAGAGATGCACGTGAAATTATATTACAGTGAAAAATAGATGTGGAACAGAACAACATGTAAGTTGGACAATAATTATGCTAATTGCTCAGTGGAAGTAGTTAAGTGTCATTTATGCAACTCTTCACAATTTAAAAACGCATTTTAATTGTAAACGAGAAGTTACGTCGCTGACGGCAAAAAGCACTTGTGAAATATATGTTATAGGATACACTGACAAGTTTCGGGTTAACTGTTGCGAATATCCAGGAAAAGCATGCCATTTTGGAATAGAAGTTAAATATCCAGTGCGTCAATGATCGCGACAAATTGAAACCGAATATTCGCTTGAATTCGAATATTTACACGCAAGCTCTTCCTGTTTTCTCTTTTGATATCCAATTGTCAAAGCGACCAGTGACTTTTTAGAATCAAATTCAATTTCCAAAGCATTTGTTCGATCTCTTTTTTCTGATGTAAAAACACTTTATGAAAGAATCGAGCATATTTTAATATTTTTTTCTTTGAAAGCAATTATTATCATAAGAAACCATATTCAGATTTCAAGATTACGTAATGAAAATATTAAACAATATTAAGTGTGAAAATCGACCGAAAAATGTTTAATACAAATAAGCGAAGAAGGATGTATTTTCAAATATACATCAAAATGGATCTTGATGTATAATAGTATTTTTATGTAAATTTTACTATTTCCAATTCAAGCAAACTGCGCTTTAACTGTAAACTTTGAAGATGTTCATTATCAGTAATATTAAATTGCTTGTCACTTTAACTTGTGATATTACGCATTCCAGAGTTTCAGTTCATGTTTCTGTTTTAAAATCGACAAATAATTAGTGCCTTTCTTGAACTGGTAATTGTAAAATTCATATTCAAAATTTCGTATTCACAAAATATTATTAGACACAAAAACCCTCTTTAATCAAATATAACTTTCTTTGTTCATTTATATTGAAAATATTAAATTGATTCTCATGATCCATACATTTATAAAATCATGTCACATTAAAAATTGATTTTAACTGAATTTGTCACTAAGAAATATGATTTGTCAAAAGAAATGTAACTCGTTATTTCTTTTTAAAGAAATATCTGTCACCGTGCAAGTTTTAATTGCGAGAATTGTATCAAAATTTTTTCTTTTATTTTTTTGGCTGCTCTTCTGAAGTAAAACTAAGGAAAACTTATTAAATTGTACATTATGAACTAAAGTTTCGCATGCCAGTGTCTATTGCGTTTTCTTAAGATTTTTCAAAGTTGAATTAGCTACTTAATGTACTCCTATTGCGCTGCTAAAAATATATAAAGATTTCATTTTATCAGCACAAAAGTTTTCAAATTTTTTTTTAACAAAGAATCATTTATCGATAAAGAAAAGAGAAATAAATTGATTATTTTTATGAATATATCTTGTATTCTTTATATTCTTTTTTTAAAAAATGGAATACTATTAAACTTTAGTCTTAAACTTTAGAATGAAAATTTATGAATCTTAATAAATATAAGGTCTCTTGTTTTTTGACATTGAGTTTCAACAACTCTTTTTTTTCACAACTGAGAATAGTAAACATTAAGATAATATTATGTCGCTAAAAAAATTATAAAATTTTAATTATGCAACTGCAGCTATGTGAAAAATTGTGTTAAATTTTAACAAAGAAATAATAAGTAAAATGATCTATTTCAAATGCAGTGTGCAAAGAAAAAAAGAAATACTTCTAACATTAATTTATATTTATTGATTAAAAAAATTTAATATCTTAATGAAATATTCCCACAAGCAAATGGTTCCCATAAGTAAAGAGTTTCTCACGACCTGTTGGGTCTGAAAATTTCCTATTTTCCACTAAGGAACTTAGTATAGAGAAAACAAACCGAGCGCCATCCCCGTCTATTGATCGATCGCCGACTTCGTTCAACATGGCACCAGGATATTCGCGCTCAGTCCGAGTCTTGTCGTCTCCAAAAAAGATCAGAATTCCTCGCAAAGACCTTTACATTTCTCAAGCATTCGTGCAAAAAGACCATCAAGAATGTAAGTTGGCCATGTAGTTAATTAGATTTCTTCTTATCGAGTAATACATGTTGAATGTTGACGCAGGTTATGGGAAACACTCTCACTCGAGCTTTATGATAGCTGCGTTGACACTAATCCGGCTTAGTGCTCTTATTTTTTAAGATATTAATTAAGAAGGATCTCAAGGTTCGTATTTACACGTGAATCTATTAATTAACTTATTATATAATTTAATTAAGCACCAAGTATGAAGTTTATTTTGTAACAAAGTAATCAGCGCATGTTACAATTTATTTATTTAAACATTTATAAAATGGAATATTTGGAAGCAATTTATTTTTTGTATTATTGTTGAACTTCTTGCCATTTATAAATTTATAATAATTGAGATGATTCAAGTTAATAATTCAAGTTAGTCATTGTAGTTACAATGATTGGTAAATATTGCCGTAGAAGCTTCTTCTCAGACAATTCCTGCAAGCTTGCGAAGAGAGCTGTTTCTGCAAAATTCACGAACGACGGCATTGCCAAAATACAACCGGAAACACTCATCGCTATGCGATTCTGTTGCAAGGAGATCTATTTATCCGATCAGGTGCTGTATATACAGAATACCAATTCCATTAATTGCATCCGTAGACTATGTTGCGCTCTATATACCTATATACTCAATATACTATTTTCGCGCGGACAGTATGTTGATGAATGACAAACACGTTTCAGTCGAAAGAGAGTGAGATCGAATGCTTTCGACGTGAGATTAAATGCTTTCAAGTACTACTTCATGCAGCCGAAATAGTTAACCGTGAAAATAAGAGGAGTATTCTCTGAAAAGAGCAGCTACTCTCGAGAAGAAGCGCAAGGAGAAAAACTTTTAATCGCGAAATAAACGATTAATGACTTGAACAAGTTATTCTTTTTGGATTGATCTTCTTGCGGCAAAGAACATGCGCTGCAGCGATAATAATTCATTATTTTAAGCTGCTTACTTAGACTTTGCTACGTTGGAAGGTTAAACTGATGATGGTATGACGGCTGCACAACATGAATAATAGAATGTGTACAGAAACATAAAAATGGAAGTGAAGATGCATATCATAAAAATAAATTGAAAAATGTAGAGATAAAGAAAGCATGAACCGAGAAATTAGATATTCAAAAAGAATCTTTTTCATACGTATTATTTATGACGTTTTATTTATGATGTTATTACCACAATATTAATGACACTACAAAATAAATCAATAAACTGTTATTCTACTAAAAGAAAATATTTTTAAATAATAAATTTTTATATTCTATAATGTACGTATTATTCGAATAATGCAATTTTAATGTGTAGCGGACTATTTTAATATTGTATGTATTATACATAACTTTATTCTCTCAAAATATAAAAACACAAAGTTACAAAATTTTTTGAAATTAATTGATATCTATTTAATAAAATACTTGATATTCCAGATATAAATCCAGTTTTATAATTTTCTCCTTAATACGTATGAACCACATATATTGTGATAAAATATGATATTCTACAAAGTTTTTATTTTTTACTCAAACTGTGATAACTAAAACAAAAATATAAATAAAATGTAATAAAATTAGAGACAACGATATTGTAATTAATTAAGATATTAATTTTGCAGATTATATAATTTATTTTAGGATAAGCTAAAAATAATGCTTACTGCTTTTTGTAAATTTGTATAGGCATCTTCCATTTTCTCATTTTTAAGGACTATTAAATATTCTTTAAGCTTATCTAAAGTTTCATCGAAAGGTGTCTTAAACAGCGCTTCAGGGTTCCATGGTACATAATATTCATCATATTTCTTGTGATAATAAAGCCAAGGAACGATGAATTCGTCGAAGTGACACGATGGACGTTGTATATTAATGCTCTTGATGAGACTATAAGTACTCATTATGGTGCTAAGATAAGGCATTAGCTTAGATGCTTTAGTATTACAAAAATTTAATAGAGTGATTAAACTTCGATATACCATATCTTGCGATATCGGATCTACCTGTAAAAAGGTAATAATTAGATATGTCAATTGATTATTATCTTATCTGTTATCTAATTACTTTAATATTTCTAATTATTAAAACAAACAACGAATAAATCTTATAATACAAAAAAGATACTTTCATGCTTTTTCAGTCTTAAAATATAACTGACCTCTGCATGAATGAGATGAAGAATTTCATAAATTTCAACCAGGTATATATAATTACTTTCAGTTACGATGTTTTGCAAAATGACGGCCGAGCCATCATCATTTGATGTTAAAAGTTCGCACATAAATTGCATCTCGTTCGCTATACAGTACGGTAATTCTTTTGCGTATAACAATATGTTACATAAATGATTTACTTTGATCGTTAATGACTTTTTGCACTGAAAAATAAACTTATCTTAAAATATACAACAATTTTACTTAAATTTTTACATGTGCAACCAATATACCTTTAGTGATGATTTCTTTTGACAATGAATAATAAACGTAAACAGTTTTATACTAGCAGTGGATAAATCTGATCTTTCTTTCGAAAATCCATAGACGTATAACCATTTTAATAGCCGAAAATTTGTCATGTATGTTTTAAGTACTGTAATTGAAATATTCTATTAAAATATTCTATGTTTAAAACATATTTCGATAGAAACGTATGCACATATATAATTTTCTCTATTGTAAGTAATTATTCATTTTCACGAATATTCTTTCGTATTTTACCTTCAAATGAATTCCGCGTCATAGCGACTTCTAACAAGATGTACGCTTGCATTAAAACTAAAGTCATGAATTTTATATTAGAACAGTCCGTATTTTTGTTAAGTATAATATCGGCTATATTATCGGCGCTACGTATTATGAAAGGTAATGATATCATGGATGGTCGGATAATATTAGCTAACTCCAGAGCTGTTTCTATATGCGAGACTGCAAATGCAAATGTTGACAAAATTACATATTAATTTCAATATTAGATAAAATTATAATATTAATTTTACGTATAAATAATAATATAATAAGTATAAATATAATAAGTATAATAAGTATAAATAATATATATTTTTAAAAATTTAATAATATAACAGAGAGACTAATGACATTTATAGTAATGATATTTCTTAGAAGATTTACTGAATTATTTTGACAAACCAGTATCTGGTTGATACGATGAAAAAATATCAGGTAATATTTGCCACACTGTACTCGCGAGATTGTCTATGCGCTGTTTATCGTTTTTGATGATTTGTATTAAATGGCAAAGTCCTTTCAGAGCAATATTGACAAAACTATTAGAAAAATTGCTATGTATCACATCCTATTTGTAGCAAGTAAAAATTATATTATTTGTTCTCGTATTAAAACATCTTTTTTAATCAAGCAAATGTTAAATGTTATAACTTATTAAAATATTTAAAATTATCTTAAAAATATTCAGAAAGAAATGTTAATTTCATATTTTCTCTTTTTTTTTCTTTTTTCTGACATATAAAAATAAAGATATTCTGCTTACCAACAGATATTCAGCAACTTTGTCATAATTAAATGATAACGGCTTGATATCTCCATCAGACTCTATCAGCCACAAATTTAAAATTCGATACAGCAAGTTTTGTGAAATGTTCGGACATGTAAGACAGTAATGTAAAAGATCGACATGATGAGTATAAAATTCACTGATTTCTGAACGTTGCAAAATGCTCATCATCTGAACAACTGCATTTTCGTAATGATATACTAAATTAGGACGCGGATGAGATAGAGACGTTACCTGCGAAATCGAACGTAATCAGTGCATAGCGCAAACAAGTACGAGATAAATATGTACTTACAGCAAATAGCAACCATAAAGGTTTTAAAATCAAAACTGAGATCGGTGTAGATTTTGGAAGTAGCATGATTCTAGTAATTAAGGATTTTAAAGATATCACGTCGCTTCTGAAGAGTGATATAAAAATTGTAGTATTTGAATAAAACAAGTGATAATACAGAAAAGTATAGTTTTTTCATACTCTCTTGTGCCAAGATAATGATAATATAGCAGAATTATCAGGATCGATCCGTTTTTTTTGCACGCTACTGCATCGTTCCATTTTGTTGAATCTTTTGGTAATTCAACGAGACCTTGATTCAACATATTCGCAAACTTCGTCGTTTTTATGGGGAATGCCATTTTACCGAGAATACTCAGGATTCGTGATAGTAATATACAGGTGCTTCTTCGTAAATTCTCTCTGCAATGTGAAATGTTGCTTCGCGGTTTGTATATGATGTTGTTGAGTGATTTAGATTTCAAAGATATATCTTTGAAGTTAGAGTTTAAACTTCAGCAATAATATGTAATACATAAAATTTGTTCTACAATATTGGAAACCTTATATAAAAACTATTTATATATATTACATATATTTTTAAAGCGCTACGAATAGCACAGAAATGCGAATCGATCTCTTTATGTATATTTTTAGATACAAAATTCTGAAAAAATAGTATAAAAGAAATAACATAAAAGAAAATTACAATTGAAAGCATAAAAATTATCTTTAAAGAGATGATGAAAGAATTCTTAGCAATTTTAATGTGACCGAAACTTAAACTAAAAGTGAACAGATAGTCGTTAATACACACAAGTTTGAAAAATATTTAGGAAAAGATATCTGAAATATTTAGATCTTTCGAATATATATATATCTGTGAGTTTATTTATTTCTGTGTGTGTGTTCGTGTCGCATAGGTTTATTAAAAAAATAATTATATACACAGAGAGAATTTTGTTTTAAAATTTACCTCGAAAATATGGTAGTTGTGGTACACTTCAATATTTTAAAGATTTTTACCATGCATTTCAATAAAATTAATCAAATTTATTTTATACTTTATTGTAGTTTTATTAATGAATGAGAGAGATTTATACTAAAATTTTTGGAAATATTATGTTGTCCCACGGCTATCATATTTTCAGGGTAAAAAAAATTCTCTCCGTGTATATTTAATTATAAAATATTGAATATAACGTAAATGCATTTGTCAATTTATAATTCTATCGACAGCATTAGAAACGGATATGCAACTTACGGAAACTGCACAGTTAAATATAACAAGCGCTTCAGATATCCATTGGCAGTCAAATGATTCGACAAATTGTCCTTATTGCAATTTTTTAGCTGATACAAATTGTTCAGACAAAAGACGAGACTTCTATAAAATCCGATTAAGTCTAGAGAAGATAAGTCTTTGTCCTATCAAAAAAAAGCAATAGTGTTTATGACTCATTCTATTTATTTATATGCGGCGTATTATTTTAGTAGATTAATATTTTATTATATTTCCTAACGAACGTACTTTAACGTATGGTATAATTATATCCATCACCGTATGGTACACCGAAATTTCCAAATTATTTTTCTTTTCGTAAATCTTAAGTTCGGTCTGATTATTTTCTCTCGAATCTTGCATGAGGCAAAATCTACGGACACAGAAACATTTTATTAATAATAAAAATAGTTTTGATATATCGACGTTGAAGAAAAATAAATTGACGAATATCCTACCGAGCACTGCTGGCGCAGGTACTGCATAATGAATCAATGGCGAATGAAATCGTGTCATTATCATCGTCACATTTGACAATCTTTGTCATTGACTCTAATATATCATGACAAACGTCGATGATCATTTCCACATCGATATTTTTATCGAAGGCTGCTTGTTTCTGCAGGATGACATTAAACATCGTGATAGCCATAAATTTCAGCTTGTTCTTTTTCAATTCTTTGATATCCAGATTCTTCACGAAAAGTATAATTTGTTGCAGAATGCAGTCCGTGTCGAAGCTTACATCTAATTTTAGCGATCTAGAAATTAAATTAAATTTTACTACGTGTGAGTATAACAATTATTGCTTCAGCAAATCTTTTAATAATTTATTAAAATCATTAATATCAATGAAAATAACTTGCAAATATAATCAATTATGTAATAATATATAAATATATAAAATTAATTAATATAAATATATTATTAATTAATATAAATATATTATTTATACTGAGATTGCGTTGCGTTTTTTACAGTAAATAATCAGAAAAGTATACCTAACAAGTATGTCAGACATGCCCCCTACAAGTTTCTCGAATAGCGTTGAGTCTTTGAGTGATTTATTTACGCAATAACTAAGTCTTAGCATTGTCTGCATAGTAATTATGGCCGCTTGATTTTCATAGAATTCTTTGTGAGCGCTTACGATCTCGAAGATTTCGAGAACAACTCTGCGAACCAAATCGGTAATCATGAAGAATCGCACCGGATGTAAGAAAATTCGAATTCGAAAAACATAATTATCTTTTTCGTAAGAATGGAATTACATACTTGATGAAATTTTCATCCGATGTCTGCACGACCTCGCATATTGTAGATACCACATCGAATTTAACAAGTTTTCCCACAACAATGCCTCTTTCAGATTCCTCCGTCTGTATCAGAAAATCCAGTAGCTTCTCCGAAATCCAGTTCTAATTTTAGCAGACAAGGATCGAAGAGAAATGAAATTACGATTATAGAACTATGTATATATATTAATAAACGAAGCCATCGATGTTTCGAACGAGATTAGACCGATCTCGTTTTCACTCCTTTCCGCTCTATTTCCGATCGATCGTCCTCGATTCGTGCGTTATGCGTTTATGTTACAAGTGATGAATACGCCTATAATTTCGCTGAATTCATATCAAACGCATGCTTTCCGAGTTGTAATGATCACTCTTCACGCTCGTTCGCGAATTAATGAAACGCAATTTGATGCAGGATCCATTTTCGCGTACTTGCGACGATTAAACTCAGCGAAATTATATCTCTATTACGAGGAAAGTTATATTTAATCAGTTATATCTTATTAAGAATTAGAGTAAGAATAAAAATCGAGGAACGTATTGGCTATAATTTCCTATGAAATTAAAGATAATTTTCCAAGAAAAAGATATATATCTTATTATTTCTATAAAATATATAGTATTTTTTCTTTGATATTAGATTTTATTGATACAAAAATTTGATGTCTCTCTGTAGACACATAGAAATTGTGAAATATAAAAATGATGAAAAATAGAAAACGAAAAATTAAATATTATTAAAACGTATTATATTATTACGCGAAAACGCAAAAATATCTGCACCATGCACTCATATATCTATCACTGAACTAAGGTGATACGAATACAAGGTGTACGAATACAAGGTACAGGTCAGTAACACCGGCATGAAGTTGACCTCCACAGGAAGTCCATTATCCTGACGGTGCTAAGGACGCCGAGTCCGCTGACGATCGATATTGCCTCCGCATAGGCCACCATAGTGTTACACTGCAGCTTCAGCATCTGATTTTCTAGACTAAGCTGCAGTGTAACATCTACGATGACAATCCCGAGCCGGAAGTAAGACGGTACCATGGCAACATCACTCTGCTGCACATCGGTAGGACTATGGTAGTCCAGCTCACGCGGGACGATTTTCCGGTGGATTTCCAAGGGATGGAGACCCTGGATGTCAACTATTTCCCAAGTAATCAACGCGTGTCCATCGAGAAAGATACTATTATTAGAGTAGATGTATAATAATTAGACATCGAATTCTCTGCAATTGTATATTTTTTTAGAAAGCAAATTAGGAAGTAAAATCGCAGCAGAAATTTGTCTTATTGAAAAGGCATTCCAAAAATGCATATTTATTTGTGCATATTTTGTGTATACTTGCATATTTCAGCATAAAAAAATCCGATGTTTAACAATAATCAATAATAATAGCAAATATAAGGAATTTCTCTTTTACCTGCGCGTTTCCCGACATTAATCGTTTCTTCACGTACGGCAGAATAAGATTTATATCCTTCATACTCCAGTCGAACAATAAATCCATCGCGCTGAATAAATTATTTTCCTACACATCAAAGAAACTGTGCACGACTAAGGAATTGCGTCGCAATGCGGTATAACGAATAGAAGAACGTTGCAAGTTCGGACACTTAAATTTAGCGGCTAACTTCTCAATATTAGAAAAATAAATGGCGGCACGCGGCAGATTTGAATGATTGAATATGATTTTAATCGAAGTTTATCTTGAGAATATATCTCAATGCAAAATTAAATACAAGAGAGAGTTTAATAGAATTGAGACACGTGTCTTTTTTTATTCGTATTTGAAGTTTTGAATACATTCTCTTAATCCGCAGAGATAAGTGATCGGTATAATCATTTATATTAAGCACGGATCTTATCTCAATACAATGTAAACGCAATGCAGATGCATATATTCAAACATGCACGTGCCAAACATGTATACATGTGTTTTTGTGAATGCGATGACGCAATGAATTGCTGAAGAAAAGTAAAAGTGAAATATAATTTTATCAAAGAAGTTAGGTGTGAAAAGAGAAAATGTATGTCATATAACAACGCTAAGTTGGAGTTACTTTTTTTTACACTGTAAAAAGTAAAATGTTAATTTTATCTTAAAGGCGTACAGTGGACTTTCTGAGACATGCAAAAATGTTAAAATTAACACAAAAATGTTAATTTTAACATTATTACGTATCTTAGAAAGTCCATTATACGTTTTTAAGTTAAAAGTAATATTTTATTTTTTAGTAAGTAAAAAATACACTTATGTTATTATATATATTTATATAAATAAAATGTATAACAAATGGCATAAATATATTTTACATAATTATCTATTTATTTATATAAAATATATAAGAAACGATTTAATTTCATTAAATTTGTAGCAAAATAGATATCTAAAGATTTTAGCTTCATAAAGGCAAAATATGAGTCGAATCAATTGACTGTAATGAGGTCAAAGGTTAAAATCAATAAGATTTTCAATATTAGTAGAAGACAAAACCAAAATGGCTTAATTTTTTTTTCATATTTTGACATTTTTAATATCGACGACATTTTTTCAAATTACTTTCTGCACTAATTACATCTGTTACATAAAGTATATCATTAAATTTTTTATAGTTTAAATACTGAAAAATGTTTACCTATCCCAAATGTTATTGAGATTAAATTTAAATGGAAATGAAGAATTATTTGAATTTAATAACATCTTATGTTTTTCAGCTTATGTTTTTCATGCTGAAAAGCAAAAACGAAAAGATTTAAATTTAAAGAATAAATCTGAATATTGAAAAGAAATTTAATTGATTAAATGTTTTTTTTAGATATTTATAATTTATAATTATAATAAATTCGGCAAATAAGGAAATTAGCGCTGTAATACATGCACAATCAATTTCAATATTATTGAATTGTATGTATCCTAATTTAATTATTGATTTGTAGTATACATATGTTTCGGCTAATTTTTTAGCCATCATCAGATATTAAAAAGAAAATCATGCGAGTACCGTAGCTTAATTTTATACATCTCAACTCTTACGTTTCCACATGAAATTATCTGTACGTACTAAGGATGGCTAGGAGTTAGTCGAAACATGTATACTACAAATCAATAATTAAATTAGGATACATACAATTCGATAATATTGAAATTGATATATCGCACGTATTGCAGCGGTAATTCCCAATTTGCCGAATTTATTATAATTATATTTTTTTACATATTAGGGAATTTAGATTAATCATTCGTTTATAATTATTGTTATTAAATGAAAATTAAGGAAAGACACGTTATAAGATACATAGTCAAGTTTTGAATTAGCCATTACAAATATCTGCGAAAAGCATGTCACTTTGAAGTAAAAGCTGAACATCCAGCGTGTCGACGACCAATTGACGTCAACTCGCGCATTGAATATTCTCACACGCGTCGGCTTTTCGCCTTTCTCTCTTGACATCCGATTGTCGAAGCGATCAGCAAAACTTTCAGGGTCAAGTTTGATTTCCGAAGCGCTCGCTCGCTCTGCGCGAACTCTTCTTGCTAGCGTGTGGAATTTCACGCTTCACGAAAGAAAATCTAGCGAACCCGCGTCGCTCTATTTCGCCCCATAGAAGATACGCGGATGACCACAGATTTTCTTGTCTTTCCCAATACGTACTTCACGCACCAGATATCTATCGCCGCATGATTAATTTTCTCCCGTGATTTAGGCAAAAGTTATAAAACTTTCATAACTCCCGTTATTGTGAAATTAAGATGTTCCACAAATAACTCTTGGAGATTAGCGATACGCCGCGAAAATATAAAATCGCCTCGCTTTCGCGATCTTCGTAAGTGAAATCATCTCGCACGACGATCGGGATCTAATACGTATTTAATGAGCTTGGATTACACGTGCAAGGCGCGTAATTACAATATTAATTAATAAACAATTCGAGCGAGGAGATGCCACGTGACGCGATTTATATAGTATCGTCGTTACTTTTTTTGTTTCAAAAACGTTTTCTAAGTGGGCCAAAGAAATTGCTTATCAGCGGCGGAAGCAGGTCACAAGCGCAGGATTAATGCACAATTAATTAATCGAGAAAAAGTGCGTAAGAAATGATACGTACACCGTCAAAATTTCAAATCATTTATGAAACACACTGGGGTCCCGTCGCAGATCGATATTCGATCTCGAATGGATGAAATTGCATTCAGACGCAAGTCGAGAAATAAAATTTATTCCGAAGCAATTCTCAAAGCGAGTTTTCTGCGTTCGCGTTCGTCATGATTGTTCTCTCGATTGCGACTCCAAAATAAAACTTTTTACAATCAAAATGAAAATATCCCGAAAATGATTTTTAGTTATTTTTATATAATATTGTATATGCTAAGAAAGGAGTTATATTCCGAAATATGTTTTAATATCTGGAAGTATTTGAAATATTTAAGAATAAATTTTTATTGCACAATTTGCATATACTGCTTACGATAAGCAAACATTAAAAAAAGAAGATCTTACTGTAAAAATAAAAAATATTTTTTTTATATTACTAAAATTGGAGCAGAACGAGTGTTTCACTTTTTTTTAATATGCCATCATCGATTAATAAAATAATATTTCAAAAACGATAAGGCGAGTTTTCCGCCGTTCGTCAGTTTTTCTCTTGATTATGGCTTCAGTATAAAATTTCTGCAAGCAAAAAATGAAAATATTGTGGAAAATATAGATTTTCATTGTTTTTTAGTACTTATGTGCTGAGAAGTATAGGAATTTATATTACGAAACATGTTTCCACTCACCTGCAATTTTATTGTACTTACTTTAATATGTCGTCGTCGTCGATTAATAAGACAACACATAAAAGGTAAAAATAACGTAAAGAGATTACTTATGCAACAATAACAAACATCATTTACTACAACGTTGCAATTAATGCTTTTAATAGATCTCCGTTTCTCTCCCCCCCCCCCCCGATTTATTCTTATTCTATAATAATAATCAGTTTCTTTCTTATTCTCAGTAGTGCCGCGCTACGATGATCATGACGTCGATTGTATAATCATGATAACAATAATCAGGACAATAACTGTGAATCGTTGATTGCAAAATGGCAATCAGATCTTCTAATTTACTTACATTTAAAATACATGATACGAGAGAGAGTTACACGAGATATTTTTTTTATCATTCTCTCGTCCATTTCACTTTTATTCGGATTCACGGTGAATCATCCGTGGATTGTCCTCGAGCCATTTTACAATCACCCCGCTCGTGTGCAATAACGCTATTAATAATTGTACAATAAATGCATATGTGAACAGAAACTGTAACTATGGAGGATATACAATATCGAGGCAGTCGTATATCCACGTCGAACCGTTTTCGAAGTTGCGTCTACCATGCTTCGCGTAATCGTATGTCAGAATAATTCGAGGTAAATTCGATTTAAGAGATTCCTTTCTGGGTCCTGAAAAAATAAAGTCTTTTAGGAATTTTGTAAAGAAGACTATTTATACTTGACTTATACTTGTTTTGAACTTTTTACACGTAAAAGGTATGTTTTATGAATATCTGTGAATATTTGCTCTTCCTTCTTCGGCTAAGAAGTTTAAAACATTTGAGTCAAAATTTCTTTTACAAGATTCCTAAAAACACCTTATTTTTTCGGCTAATAGAAAGAAATTCCTCTTAAAAGATGAAAAATGCCTCCGACGCAAATTAGAGTTACGGATGGAATTTCTTCGGTCGAGCGACGCCGTTGCAATCATTATTTCCTGCTAATTGAAAATACAATGGCGATCTCGTAGATGCATTTCCGGAACGGCCGGCGAATAGGAGTATTCCATGAGTCTTTTAGTGATGTAATTTTGCGACGAGGAACAGATGTCTGGTGTGTCTTCGACAATCCGATATTGAACGTTCGCAATAACGAGACGTAACTTCGAATCTGGTGACGCGAAATACAGACCAGCGATTCTCATGATGGACTGTTCGCCTTCATTCCTCCGCACATCTAACACTAGACGCATTTATATTCTATACCTCAGGTAAAATTCTCTAAGAACGCGCCGATAGTCCGTATGACTATCGAGTGCCGAAATATTTCCGTAACATCGTAGAAACGCGACAATTATCGTCATCGGTATTTTAATTGATTTAATGAAATTTTAAAAAGCGGTGTAGGTAAGAAATATAAAGTACACTTTGAATAAAATTCTAAGCTATAATAAATAACATATGTATACGAATAACGACATAGTAAAAAGTGTAAATTGACAGATCGCGTAAAAACGAGGAGAAAATAAATTGATTAAAATTAAAAAAGTATTTTAAAACACACCGATATAAAACTGAAAAATATAAAGAATTTTGCACGTTTGTGTAAATTAATACGGATAAATTTAAGGAGAAAAACGCTTTATGTATCCTCATTTAGTAAAATCTCTTTCGATAATTATTATTATCAATCAATAAAAATAATTATTGATCAATAATAATAATTATTTGGAACACAGTCCGCTTTTCGATTTTCAACGCGCCTTGTTTACCACATTTGCTCTATTTATCTGCTGTTTGAAAATCCAAACTTTAATATGCGATAACGCATCGTACAATACACAATAATTAATTCTTTATACAACTCTCATCGCAATATACTATATAATATATAATAATAATGATCATACAACTAACAGTTTTTATAATGTTATTCATCTTCAAGACATCGGCCCGAGAAAGAGGATCGACGTCTTTATAAACGTCTCGCTACGATAAACTATACGAGATTCAAATGCAAAACGTTCTAGAACGTGCAACCACTCACACGATGATAATTACGAGCGACTCGGTTAAATTAAAACATGTTCCGCGACTCCTATTATAGATTCTGCACTTATATTATTCATATAATTATTTATTTATTCATTTATATAGTTTCTCTTTCTTATTTTTTTTTTTTGCTTTCTCTTTCTGAAAATCTCTAAGCTATGTATTATAAGGACTAGTTACACGATAGGATTTAATTTAACTATGTGTACTCAACAAGCCAGTCTAGCTTTTCGACGCGTCATCTGCCATGTTTGATGGCGGTCAGAGCATAAAGAAACGCTTGAACACTCGGGATGATATCCGCCATCCATTTTTGGTGCCAGAAAACATCTCTCGATTGTACGGCAAGATCTCAAGCGCGCGTCTCCAAGCACTTATAGCTAAATGATCCTCTCGATCGACGTTTCGACATTCGACGCGACCGTTTCCCGTATTTCGTCGATCTATGTCGAAGGATGCGTGTATGTGTGTACTTCCCCTTGTCTTATTTATAATGTTCTTTAGGCGATATTCTACATCGATTGCTATAACATACGAGCCACTTCGAAGCGATATATCCACGCGCGAACTGCGCAAAGTTTGCGCAAACACTTTACTATTTACTTTAATTCAAGAATTAAAATCTATTGATGATATACCGAATATAGATGATGACCGAATATAGTTTTCAACCAGTCGACATCAACTAAAAGTAATATTTTATACACACCTCTAAGAGACATTTTGAAGATGTCCAGAGAATGTCTCTATGTTTTTTGAACATTCTAAGGACGTTCCCAGGATATCTCTTGGATAAAAATGTGCTATATGTAACATCTTATATTAGATTTATTCTTTTTAGCTGAACTTTTTGCATGATTCATCTTTTTTCTTTTCCTCTTCATGTTGAAAGAAAAAAGAGAAAAGATGATCCGTGCAGAAAGTTCATCTAAAAAGAACAGACCTATTATATTTATATTGTTAAGTATAAAATTATAACATTCGTGTCATGTTACTTTAAATTTGTGTCGATTGGGAACGCGTCGTCATGTCGCTTTGATTTGTAAATTAAGCTGCGCGTTTCGTAAAATTCTACTTACGAATTTTACAAAATTGGTGTATCTTATTTTACGCAAGCTTGGACAGATGAGAAAAACTTTTTACAACGGTATCGATATGAATATGGGCGTCAATGTAAAGTTTCCTCGATACTTTTTCCGACGTAGCTCGTACATCGCGTCTGCGCTTCTTATTAATATTAAAAAATACAATATGCGACAATAATAACTATGGCGGAAGCGGCCGCGGCGCGAGCGAGAGCGATAATTAAGGCGAGAAACGCCGAAATGTCGATCTCAGGCTGGACTAGAGTCTTATCGTAAAAAGAAAGGAAAAGGAGGAAAAATATTTGACATATCGAGAAAACGCGCGCTACAATCGGTCCTACTATCTCTGCTTGTCTTAAAGTGTATGCAGGATGCGATACGAAATATACAAGCGGACTCGATTTTGTATCGGGGATACAAGAGGAACGGCGTAAGCCGAAGAGAAAAAGACCAAATCGGGACGATTCCGTGGCTTTCTCTCTTCACGAGCCTCGATTGTAGACTTGCGGATTATTATCGATTTATCCGTCCTACGGCTTCCTACGCCGAACGAGATGAACAGTCGCCGTTATTGAAACTCTCGTCACGGCGATAACGTATTATCTCGCTATATATAATTATAATAATGTATGTATATAAGATATTTTGTATCGACTATTTGCACGAGCGCGAGCATCGACAGACGGAATCGTTTACGGATTCGATCAATGGCCGATCGATCCGTGTCGACGGGATTTCACTCGATTTGATATCCTCTACAAGCTGGTTACAAAAATTCTTTCTTCCGCCGTGTCTCGGATTCTTATTGATGTATGTTTGAGTCATCTCTCTGTCGTGCTCTGTCTTCTTCGTTTTATTTCTCTCTCTCTCTCTCTCTCTGTCTCACGTCGCACACGAATCTGCGAGCTTGAACGGCAAGATCGATTGGCGACGCTGGCATGTAACTAATAGAGCGAGTCGCGCAATTCTATACGCGGCTCTTGTAACAAAGATATTCTTACGGTTTATCGAGACGTTATTTTATCTACGTATATCACACTAAAATCCACGGTGTCTGCAGGCGCTTCTTCGTACGTCGGGACACACGCTGAGAGTTCCGCCCGCAGAACCCTGAAAAAAAAAAAATATATATACATATTCATATTCGCTAATCATATTCATTATCGTCGAATCACGATTCTTATCTTGTCTTGATTTAGGTACCCTCAAGTAAGAGTCTGGACACTCAAAGTGTGTTCTATCTCCTACACAGTTGGAAAAAATGTGTTGAATTTAATATAAATGCATGTCTCAAACGGTCCACTCAAATTTTTGAGTTAATTTTACACAAGATGAATATGTTAAAACAATAATATTATGTAAAAGAATAAATACAAAGAAAAATAACATCGACACAGTTTATAAATAAACCGTGAAAGCATATTTTTTGTCAGAAAATTAACATTTATGATATATTAAATTAACACGGATTTTACTTGTTTATTTATTTATAAATTGTGTTATTTTGACACTAAAAAATGTTGTGTATCAATTTTACAAAAAAATCTTTAAATAACATAATCTCATTATGTTAAATTTACACTTGAATGTATGTTAAAAAATTCAACACACAGTCAACAAGAACGTGAGTGGACCGTTTCCAATACAAATACATAAATTTTTTTACTGTGTAAGGAATACATCAAATCAAGAGAAAATCAAAATGATCTTTTAACATCATGAAAGTCGAAATGATTTTTTATCACAAAAATTTGATTGTTTATTGATAAAATTATGCTTGAATTTCCTATGATTATTTTGATAGCTCAACAAATTTTCAGATCTGTATCTAAATCAACTAAATTTTTAGATATTTTAGTCTTCCTTTCGTACAGTTCTTATATATTTCACTTAATGTTTCGATTTAATTGCTTAGCTAACACGTCGCTCTTACCTGTCATTGTTTGGCGGAATGATATCTAGCTAGCTTCATTTGCAGCGGATTAGATATCTTCATATGAAAGGCGATGTCATCCAAGGAAGCGTCGCGGACGTCCAATCCACCAATCGCTACAAGCTGATCACCTTTGCAGATCTTGCCGGTTTCGATAGCCTGACCGCCCGCTGTCTGTAGAAGTAGAAATTGATAGAATGCGAGTAGCGTAAATTATGAAACATAGATATTATATATCAAGATATAGAATTGGAGAACTGGACTTACTAGCTCCTTCACGTAGACTCCCTTGTTGCTCCAGAACGCGGCGAAACAGAGACCAGCTCCTTTACCGCTCTTTTTCTGTATCTCGACCTCATATTCCTCGGCTGGTTTCTCATGACGCAACACCGTCATCGTGATCTGTAAACGACCAATGAAATCGAGTCACGATTGCTCAATCAATCGAACGAGGATATATAATTTATATTACTTATATAAATTATATTGTTTATACACACTTGGCAAATTTGTATTAAATTTAACACAAGATGAATAGATTAGATGGTAACAAAAAATATTATGTAAAAGAATACAAAAATATAACACTGACACAATTTGTAAGCATATTTCTTCAATAAAATTAACAACTACAACATATTAAATTAACACACATTTTATTCATTCTTCTTAAAATTTTCGTTTTAAAGTACATTATTTTTGTGTTATTTTTTTACTTACTCATAAATTTTGTCATTTTGACACTAAAGAAATGTTAAATATGAATTTAATATAAAATATTGGAATAATATAATAATATTGTGTTAAATTAAACACTTGGATATGTTAAAAATCCAAAACATAAAATTTTAACAAGAACTTGGATGGACCAATTTCAACATAAATACAAAATGTCTTTTGCTATGTATAAATTATGTCTCAAAAGAACTGTCCTATATTTTCTCTTCATTAAAATGAGTGTGATTATTTAATAGAGTATAATGCTACGTACAGTCCCAGGAGCTTGCTTCAGGACTGTCTCGCGAGCTTTGTCGTACTCTATTTCCATGAAACTCTCATTGCCTATGCTGAGAATCTGATCGCCTAGTTGTAACCGGCCGTCCTTCCCAGCTGCGCCTTCAGGAGATACGTCCAGAACGAACACCCCGTTCTAGAAGAACATTGTTATCTCTCAACAGTACAAATATTAACATTGATAATTGTTTAATAATTACTAAATTGTTATTAATATTTTAGGAATTAATATATCTATATCTAACTTATGATATTTGTTACTTATTGTATTTTACATTTTAATAGAACGTCTCATGATTAAAAAAATAAAAGAAATTTTGAAAAGTATTGCGATGCGATATCACGCGAATAAGTTAAATATATATATATATATATATATATATTGAAAATTATTAAATACTTACACAAGGAGTGTTAGAACCGCCAGCGATGTAGAAACCTATACCTTGATTCTTCTCCTTCTGAAACTCTATCGTTGCTTCTTTGCCGACTTCGATCTTGCAAGTCTTGGGATCCTGCCGGACCTTCTTCTCTTCGGGTTCTATCGGTTCCTTGCCGGTCACTAATATTACAAGAGCGGGGAATCAAACATTAAATACAAAATCATATATAGTTTCAAGAACGAAATATATGCGTGTGTTATTACGATTTTTCGTAAATAAAATATATGGCAAAAACATATATGGAAAAAACGGTTTTGCTGAAATATTTAACAATTTAACTAGATACAAATCTGAAAATAATTTTGTTGGACTATCAAAATAACGTAAAACGTTTGAACGTTGATAATGCTAAAAGTTTTAACATTCCAGCAACCAATTTAAGCGTCCTATATAATTATTTTTATGGTTCAACAAAATTAGATATTTTCAGATCTGTTTCTAGCTAAATTTTTAGGCACTTTATCAAATTCGTTTTTTTTTTTTTTTTCGTATAAAGACGCTAATCATATTATTAAACTCACCCGAAACTATCCCACTCTTTTGCGGGGTCTTCTGTACAACCGTTAATGAATCATCTTTGAGTTCTTTAGTCTTCTGTTTCTCCTTTTGTTCTTTATTCTCGTTAGGATTACAAACTACTAGCTTAACGATACCTTCTGCTTTCTTCAATAATTCCGTCGCCTAAAAAAATTAGAACAAAGTAGAATATAAACTGCCTAAATGTTTAACACCTTAATTGTTAAAATAAATCCTTATTTAAAAAAAAGAACGAAAAATACGAACCTCATCGTACGTACGGCCTAATAAGCTGTCCAAATTAACAGCCAGGATCATGTCTCCCACTTGCAATCCAGCCTGAAATATCGGTCGCATTGTAAAGTACACGAGTTTCGCTTAAAATAGGTCTCTCAAGGTCGTAAGTACGAGCGAAAATTACCTGTTCCGCCGCACTGCCTTCTTGAATGTCGGACACGAAAATGCCTTGCCCTACGGCTAGATGTTTCCCTTCGATGATCATTATGCCGAGGCCGTATTGACTCTACGAATTGATCGATTATTACTTTTAGAAAGTAAGATTAAAAATATTGACCGGCTGACTAATTTTGTATAATTATAGTTACTTGCCTTCTTCACTCGCACGTCACGAACTCCTTTGTACTTCTTGAAATCTATATAAACCTGTAATACGTGAAATGTCGTTTAGTATTTCACAATATGATACAGCTATCAAATATTCTAAAGTATAGAATTATATGAGTTTATCTTGTAAAAAAATGTTCAAATAAATTCACAGCATCTTTGAAATCTTTTTCTTACGAAAAGTCTTCTTCTTCACATGATCTACTGGACATTCTGTATAATTTAAAAATAATTTTTACATTGATGCTCAACACATTTGAATACAACATATTTAAATTTGTCCTTTTTTAGATGATAAATAAACTGTCCTATATATTAATAAGTAATTCAGTTCTTTTATATTTCAAAATATTCACAAAATATTCATTAAAATTTGTCATCATTCGTTTATATGTTCATTAAAAATAATTATGTGGCACTTTTTTCCTCGCAGTCACTGTTAATTACAACGAGTCAAGTATATTATTATGATGGAACAATCAATTGCTTTTCATTGATTATTTTACAAGTACTGCAACCGGTACGATAAAGGTAAAAAAAAATGTGGACGCCGTGAATTGACTTACGTCATCCAAGGTTGGTGGAAATTGGACTATCGGCTTTACGGCGATGTCGTCGACAGCCTTCGATCGTCTGCAACCGGGACAAGCGAAATCCGTTTATAGTTTTAATGAATTTTGTTATACATGTCTACGTCATGTTACATCGCAGAAAAAGCTCTGAGTATCTCACCGATAGACGATGATTTTGAAGAGAGTGCCGGCCATGCCTTTGATAAGAGCGGAAGCATTCAGATGACATCGTCCTTGCAATACATAACCGTTTACCTAAGTGGAACAAAAAATATTTTATCTATTTTTAGTATTTACGTAATAGAATGAAACGCATAACAAAACATGACTTGTAAAACGCCAGCTAACAAATAAGTGTAACATTCTTTTGATCGTTCTTTTGTAGATGCGCTATAAAGATAAATATAATTTTAATAAAAATAAAATAGAGGTTTGAGTGTGTGCATTCGGATATGACTTAATTTTTTCTAATACTTTCTTTGATAATTTTCAAATTATTATATTGGATAATTTTCAAATTATTATATAATTTTTTAAATTACATACCCACTTAAAATACTTTATATTTTAAAATTCTCTCATAAAATTTCAAGGCTTACAAAGGTTTTTTCCCTTAATTTTTCTCTGAATTTTTTATATAATTTTTCAGAAATTTCATGTAAATTTCATAGTTCTTCAGAATTTCTGAATAATTTTGTAACTCTTGAAAAAATTTCTCAGATTTTGCATACAAATTGAAACACTTTTCAAAAGTATCAAAAGAGTTTACGTTTTTTTAGAATTCTTTATACATAAATTCTAAAATATACTCTACATTTCTCATTCTATCAGTTCCTGATAAAATCTTATAAAATCTAAAAAAAAAAGTTTAAGACATCTTTTCAGAAATTATAAAATGAAATATTAGAATATTTTGGAATTTACATTTATAAAATATTTTAAGAAAAGACATAAACTTTCTCAATATATTAAAAAAAATTGTTTCAATCTTACATAAAAACTTTGACAAAACTTTTCACTAGAGTTTATCTTTATTATATTATCTGCAATAGAACTATGTTGCGTCCCAGCTTAGTAAATATACGTTCCAGACAGAAGCATCGGTGTTGTGTTATTTTCTCGAGAAAACCCGCAACGCGTAACGTCGCGTCGGGCGAGTTAAACGGATTATAGACGGCGCGTGAAACGAAGGTTAAACAACCCATCGAGGTAGGAGTCGAGGGGAACCGTGGTCGTAAATGGCACATCGTAAAAACGCGAGAGAGCAGAGGGGGAGTGAAATACCCACCTCTAATATCTCGTCACCGATAAGAAGCCCGCCATTTTTATGAGCTGCACCCTTTGGATTGAGACCGCAGATAAACACCGCCATTCGGTTTCTGTCCTTATGCCCCGCCAGAGAAATTCCCAAACCCCGCCGATCCTTTTCGAGGGTGACCATCAATACCCTATGCCCAAGATTCTGGTACCTCTTCTGAACCTTCTCTGCAAAATTAAAAAGACGTTCTCATGTTTGGTGGGGATCGATCGGCCGCGACATTGACCAACGAGTATCATCCGAAACGCACACATTGGATTTTACGTATTTTAGAATGATTTTAGAACGACATAATCTAGTTATCTTTCATATCGATCATGCGGATTGATTGATTGATCGGATACATAATAAAATTTATTATTAATGGAATTTCACTGTTATCAACCACCGAACGTAGCGGAGTGATCACACAGAATGAATATCGACCTCTTCAGTGACGTAAATAGTACATAAATATCAATTTCCAATTGTTTCTGAACCGCGAATTGTTTATATTTAGTACAGAATAGTACGTTATAGTATAAACTCACTGATCGTGTAGCCGAACTCGTCCTCTTCTTCCGGATCCGCTTCGATCTCCGCCTTCGTGCGCTTCACGTTGCCGGCGCTTCTCCGCGAGATCTAGACAAGCGATTTTTACTGCGTATTATTATCGACTGCTTTCCTTTTAGGAGACACAAATGTCACTTTATCCTTCTTGATATTCCATGAATAACAAAGATAGAATGATATTTGTGTCGATTGTTTCTTTTAAAAGGAAAGTAACTATCGTAGCGCAAGTAAGAATTAAGAACATCAGCTTTTGCTCGGGTTACCTCGATGCCGCTTTTCGTGTAAACGTTTCCTTCCAACATGCGTGTGTCCTCCTCGTCTTCCGAGCTCTCATCTGAAGAGTACTTGGGCTTTTGGGGAGGCTCCTTGGTGACGACAGTCGTCGCATAATCCTCTCGTTCTTCACTGACCTCACGAAGAATACCCTGATTCACGGGTGGCGACGGGGCTGTTTTTCGAATTGACTTCTTCATGGAGGATCTGAGAAATACAACGTCCACTCAAGAAAAATTACAGCACTCTGGCATCGACTTTTCATGTAACGCGAAACACTTGTGTACGAGAGATAACTGATAAAGAAAAAAAATGCGCATTTTTTATGAGCATTCGTATTTATAAACTTCTAAGAGGAATCCTATTATAATAATAATAGGATTCCTATTATAATGATAAATTTATATAATAATTTATTATTTATAATAATATAATAAATATAATAATAAATATAGATGCATATAATTATGATGGTTTACTAAATAGATAACTGAAAGTGAGAGAATTGAAAATAAAGTTTATAATTTTTCTATAATTATACCTTCTCGCACTGGAAATCGAGCCATCCGAACTTTTCGAACTTTGCCTCTGGGAATCCCCGCGCAAAGCGCCGTCCTCGAATCCTGGCTACGCAACAAATAAATTGACATTTTCAGAAATTTATATTTATATTGTTGAATGCACTGAAAAAAAATTTATTAAATCCCAATAATCGTATTTCTTTAAATAATACTAAGTAAACATTTATACTTATAGTAAATAAATAAATAAATATTTACTCAATAAAAAAATTTATTAAGTTAAATTAATTAATTTAATTTCTGAATCAAATAAATATATGTTTACATTTAAAATAAATGAGGTTTATTGTATAAAGTACTTTCCAAGACGATGTGCTTGCGAACTGTAATTGTATTACGTAATCCATTAAGAAACTATTACAATTAACAATAAATATCAAAAAGTATGAATTATCTATGTAAAATAAATATTATTATAAAAAAAATAGGAATTATGGTCGGGCTTAAAGCTCATATGAGCAGTAAATATAATTATTCTTACGACCACGCAGCTTGCATTAATTTAATTAGAACAAAAATAAACTTTACCGCAAAAATTGCAGTCAGCGATTCAATTAAAGAAATTAATTAGCGCGAAACACCGAGTGTCCCAACGCATTTCTCCCGCGCCATTTTGCCAATTAATGCGGCAATTGTGTTTGTTCCTTACACAGAAAGCTGAGGGAAAACATGAATCGTGCACCGCAATTTTTTAATTGATCATGATGAACGAATATATAAATTATTGCGGTCGATCCTACTCGCGTATTCAATGGCAAGATAATTATTTATCAAAGATTTCGTTAAAATTTCGAAAATTTTCGTTATCACAAAACTTTTTGATTTTTTGTCAAATTCAGAAATAACATAACATTTAAAATTCAAATTATAAAGTGTTTATGAAATGTTTATAAAAAGAATAATTATAAATAATCTTGTTTAAGGATGTACCAGATATAGTATCTATAAAAAGTAATTGGATACTTTCCGTATAAAAATATTATATATAATATATGCATATATATGAAACAGTTCAATAAGGTCAATATTTTTTTCAATAATACAATTTTATAGTTTAAATTAAAATCTTTTCATTTTATCTTAATTATTTGAAAAATATATGTGCCTACTTCTTCTTGAAATAAGATCCTTTGGATCCAGATTCTAAATTACCGTCAAACTTTTTATATTACTTTCAAATATAATGTAGAAAAATCTGTAATTTTTTCATTTTATTGAAAATTTAATTTTGTTTAATTTTAAATCAATGTGTAATGCATTCTTAACATTCACATAAATACATGACGATTATCACTATTAATCAGTGTTATTCGTGAATTTTTGAGAGTAAAAAATCAAATCGAGAACAGGTTATATAAACATATATGACATATGTGACGAAACCGACCTGTATTACTTCCGGTGTGATGGATCTCGCGGGCGAAACCGGCGGTGGTTTATGGCGAAAGGAGGTCGTTGGCGTTCCAGGACTGACACCGGAAGACGACGATGTATGAGTCTTGACGGTTTGCCTTCGGGTTTTGGAATCCCTTTCCTCCTGGACGGCGCCGCCGTGCTCCGGACTCTGCAACAATTCCGAGATTCTATCTTCCACTCTTGCGAGTTGCACACAAGCCAGCTTAGGTTCATTCCAATGTAACATTATCCCCCGCAGCGTTCTCCTACTTCGGAAGCTAACGTTGCTTATTGCGTCAGAATATAACACAGCATTAGTATTTAACATAAAATTATTAACAAATATATAATATAAACATTTTTATAAACTTGTAAACTTTTATAAACTTATAAACTTGTTACGACAGTACTCAATACTATTAATTCAGTTTTTTCTATCAAACTCAGACAAAGAAAATAATAATGAAATATTATTAACAATAATATATAAAAACTTACATTTAAAATATTGCAATGTTTTCAATTTTAATTGTAAAATAGAATACATACACAGTTATGTATGTATATGTATACACACCCACACACACACACACACAGCAAAAAAAAACTAAATACTTTAAGAAAAAGGAAATGGAAGTAGACAGCAAAAGGAAAATATATAGTGCAGATGGTCTCACGGAGTTGTTTGAAAGAGATCTACACTTATTTTAGTAACTAGAGATAAACTATGCAGACCATCTAGATAAACTGGAATGAATTAGTACAACGGAAATATTTGCTGAGCATCTTGAATTGTTGCCAAAGTAACTGCAATTGAGCGAGTTTCGTAACGTGTAAAACAGAATAACGATGCACGCTGGATTCCCGCGATGTCTTCTTTTCCTTTTCACGGTCGAAGGAGGAAATCAATCGATTTTGAGAAAATTACGATTTTTTTTCATAAATACATAAATAGGTGAAAAATGATAAATAGCTAAAGAAACTACGCTGTTAGAACGCAATAGCGATTCTTCATAAATAAATAATACAAATATCCGTTCGAAAACATTGGCTATAAAAATTATTTATGTATCCCATGTGTATAATTTTATTTTCTTTTTGGATGTTTTTTTCGCTTGCATTTTTCAAAATAATCAACTGAAATACGCGGACAGGATATACGTATTTCACTGGTTGGATATATAGCAGGAACGAAAAAGCACCCGTTTTGTTTTCCACAATCTCGACAAATTCGATGCAAATCAAATTAAGCACGATGCAACAAATTTTTATCACAGACGCAACAGTATTACATCATTTTTAGTAAAAGCGATATCCTCACTCGTGTTCGTAGTTTTTCTATAACAGTCCAAGCAATTCGCACAACTCATTTTGCTGATTAATGTCCTCTTTGTTCTACGAGATGAATGTACGTCAATGAAGAACTCTCTTATGAACACACAAGAATAATTAAAGTCGAATATATATATAGTAACACACGTGGACCAATCGGTCACACAAAATCGGTCAGCCTTGACTCTCGCCAACGCGGATTATTAAATTCCCTATTTTTCTTCGCTTTCGATCAATCAGAGTGACGGAATGCGACACTCGTTTGCTCGCTCCCGCACAGCTTCTTTTGATATTACTTGGAACAATCAATTTCGTTCTTCCAACAGAGCTTTCCAATAGAACCTTCCGAGAGTACGCTCGTAAGTCTACATCGTAAGTCAAAGTAAACTCGATTTACGATGCGATTTACAATTGTGTGTGTACAAAGGCAGTTACATCGCACGATCTTGACGAGAGTTAAGAGACTGGCGAGTGTTCATGATAGCAGATCGTCGAATTCGGATGGGAAGTGCCTCGATTTGTGCCGTCTATGCGTTTCTATTGATAACGTACGACGAAAAGTGACTCATTTGCGTCCAAAGAATCGATGCATCGCGACGTCTCGTGACGACTGAGCCGAGTGACATCAGGTAAACCGCCTCCGACCAAACGGTTTCGTGCACGAAACTGAAGTTCCCGCGAGCGAGGGCGAGAGAGGTCGGTGAACAGGGGTTGGCGCCGTTCATAAGGGGAGAGAGGGAGAAGTGGGCTCATCGATGGTCCATGGTGTCGATGATGGGCGCCGCTCGGTTGCAACGAGGTGAACCTCTCTTTCCGGCGAACCGCATCAACTCACCCCGACTTTCACTGGCCATCGGACGAGTGCAACCCTTCTCGCGTCGTCTGTTCTTTATCGATAAACTTTCTGAACCGATGCATACAGTGCGATAAATTGATATAAAATAAATATACGTTTATTTCATTTCAACTTATTGCACCGTCCGTACTACTTTCAGAGAGAAAATTCATCGATAAAGAACAGATGGTCGTTTATGTCTATCCTCCCTTTCGAGAAAAAGAAAAAAATACGCGGTCAGTTGAGAAAAATCGGTGGTACAATTAGAGTCACAAAAACCTGTCTATATATTATTATTTTATGCGTGATTTTTTTTTTAAATGACAGTTCCTAAAATTCCGTTCTTAATTTTGAAGGAAAACAGCGTAGAAATTTAAGGATGTATCAGATGTATGTAGTTTCTACAAAAACTGAATTGGAAATTTATATTGTACTTTTCGTATAAAAATGAATATTATATGAAATAAGGTCAACATTTATATTTCACAATATACAGTTTTACAGGTTAAATGTAAATATTACTTTTTAAAAATATGTCTTATATTTCTTGTTGAAATAATTTTTTATTCGAGTTTTAAATCATCGCCAAACTTTTTACATTTCAAATACAGTATAGGAAAATCTGTAATGTTTTCATTTCATCAATTTTTGTATTTTGTTAAAAAATACATGCAATGCATCCTTAAATATATAATCATCAATAATATACATAAATTTATATATTTATATACAGCTTAATTGTAATAATTAATGGAACTTGCGTCTTTTGATGTAGTCGTTGGATCACGGATATTATCTAAATGCGTCCTTATAATACCAGCTTCTCATTCCTCGTCTCCTATGTTTGTCCTGATTTTACGTATCTCCATTGTTGTGCCTCTCTCTCTTTCTCTCTCTTTCCCCTCCCCCCCCTCTCTCCCTCCTCCTCGCTTCCCCTCATCGTAGAAATTTATTGGAAAGATCGACCGGGTGTATCATACACGTACAAGAGCTGTTCGTCAATAATGATTCTCATGTTCTCTCTTTCTTCCTCCACTTATCTCTCTTGTGCTTCCCCTTGTCCTCTCTCCATTCTTTAGCACCTTCACCGCACCTTCTCTTCCTCTTGTTTTCTCTCTCCGTTCTCCAATTCATTCACGATTGTGTATATGTATCTCGATATCGTTTATTCTCTCCGCACCGGTGGTTTCGACAGAATTGAACACACGGCCGATTGAAATTTCGGGGAAAGTCGATGTCGTTTTCAGAGACTGCCAATCGTGGACTGTGCATTTCGCCAACCCTCTGTGGCTGCAGCGAACAGGTGTTATCATGGAACTTGACACTTTCGTTGAAGCGGCACTTAACAATGTACAAACCAGGTAACAAACTTGTCTTTCCCTCGTGTTCGTTTCAGGCTAATTTCAAGGCATCAAAAAATAGTCCGTGCTCTTCGGTGAAGCCAAAAATAACACGACGGCTGTCGATGATCACGATCGCATGAAGGAAGTTATATTAGGCCCCAGTAGTTTGCTATTGAATAACGTCAATACATGTCGATGCTCAGTGTTAATTTTTAGCCGTCGGATCGCGCTGGGCGCGAAGGCCATGTCATAGTCGTGACAGATTGTTATATAAATTTTTTTCATCGATATTACGAGCTGGTTCGAGATACTGCATCGCTACCGTAATGACTAAAGTCCAGTTCTTCTTTATCTAGTTGTAATTGATGATTTTCTAACTTAACATGATAATGTAAAAATTGTGATTTTTCTAACAGTAATTAATTACTAAGCTAATGATTTTGTACACTGAAAAATATACAACATTTTTATAAATATTTGTTTGAATAGTTTTAATTAAGCAAATATTTATTTAGACGTAAACATATATTCGTTTGACACAAAAACCATTAATTTGATTCAACTATTATTTTTTTATTGAGTAATTTATTTTCTATAAGTAAATGTAGTACTATTCAAAGAAATATATATTAGGATTTAGTAAATTTTTTTTCAGTGTAATATAGTAATTTTGAAAATTATTTGCTACAAAATCATCAATTCAGTGATGAACTATAAATAGAAAAATACAATTTTTTTTGCATTATCATCATGTTAAGTTTAATCACAAATTAATCAGCAAATGAAAAACAGGATCACGCAAACATTGGGACGTGTGAGCATGGAGAAACGCATTAACAATCAAAGACGTCAGTGTTAAATTATATTAGTGCCATGTAACATCACCTCAAACATGCATATATATATCCACGATCTTAGGATACCAATACAAGAAAGACGAGAGAGCTCGAACCGGCGTTCCAAGCTCATGCTTGAAATCGTAAAAATTCGCGATCGCCGGATAAGATTTGTGATGACGCGGTAGGATAATAAAAGTCACCGAGCGGTGGAATTGTTTGCATTTTGCTTCGCGAAGTTTCTCGAGATCTATTCCGTGTATTGCCGCATATCGCTGCTTATTGCTGCATATCCCCGCATTTTGCAAGTACCGCGACACAGTATCCCGCATCCAGCGTGTTTCCTGCATCCAATTTCGCGTAATGTGTCTATCGGCGACAGTTTGGAAGCAGACGACGTTAAACGGCGAAGCGCCTAGGGCCGCTGCCATTCAATGACATTACGGAGTTCAATTTCGCCCTGCGTGGGTCTGATGACGGCGGTAATGTCCGGTTGGCGGAATCGATCGTTCGGGTACGGGTTAATTGCGAAGTGAAACTTTCGTGCTTTGTAAATCGAGTCAGCTCAGCGGTACGCGGATTTATAATGGCAACCTTGCCGAAGGTCGTAGCAAAATCTGGCTTTCCGTTTGCCCGTAAATTGTCATTAAATGCACAAGCGGAATAATCCTTAGATTACATTGTGAAATGTCAGAAGTACGAACCGTTAGAGACAGAAAGATAGAAATTGGATTATGAAAGTTTATTTAAATTTGATATCTTTGGTTCTGTTCATGATTGTGTTTCAAGAAAAAAACTTCGCGCGATATCTAGACTTAGGTATGTATATAAGTTCACGCAGAAATATTCAGTACACTCCAAGGAATATATAAAAGTCGAGATGATTTTATTTTGATTCTTAATGTCGATAAACAGTTAATTTTTGTAACAATAAATCATTATTTTGACATTAAAATAAAGTCATTTTGATTTTCAACATTTCATGTTGATGTGATGTATTTCTTTGATATAAGATCTATTTTAATACGAAAAATAGAATTTTTCATATTTAATTAGATTTAAATTTGTATAACTGAAAAAATTTATAACAAGAGGACATAACGTATTACAGATATTCTCAAATGATTTGATTGCCGAATATATTAAAGATAACTCGATAAGTTATCTCCATCGCCTATTAATTAATATCATGTCTTAATAAGCTTTGACTGAAAATACGTACTTGGCACCCCCCAGCCGTATTTGAAATTACTCTCCCGCAAAGATTACTTAACGTAAAAGAAAAAGTACATCGTGAAAAGTTGCAGACTATAAAACGACGTGTAACGTAAACGTTACGCGAGTTACTGGAGCAATGTCGTAAATTTCAGTGGCTGTAAAGGGTTTAGCTGCACGTCGTGAATTTATTTCCCTCAGGAATGTGGAGACTTTTTCATGAGCAGGAATAAGGCTTACTTCCAATAGAATATAACTAACATGCAGGCAAGCAGCGCTTTTTAAACAAAATATTTATATTCACTGGCCATGATTAATTTCTCTTTTTAGAAAAATGAAAGAAGCACGAAAGAAGAAAGTTAATAAAAAAAAGGTTAGTATTCTTCCAGATCGTCAGATTCACATTTCGTCATTATAATATATTTCGCATAATTCTCGAACGAAAAAGTCGAAGAAAGGAAGACATCGATGGAAAAATAAAAGACCTCTTCGAGTGATAAAAGGAGCAGCGCTCAAAAAACTTTTGTAACAACGTTAAAGCCAGTTGACAAACTCAAGCTCGAGAAAACGGGCAAAGTGGAAACATCAATATTCCGGATAATCGTGATCAAGAGCTTACCAAATTCACCAAGGACTGGACGAGAAGACTGACAGGATTTCCGGCAGCTTGTATAACTTCCACCGCACGCTCATGCGTACTATGCCGCAGGTCGACGCCGTCCACCTCAATTATTCTATCTCCAATCTGAAAGCACACGCGTAAGAGCGAATTAAGTCCAGAAATGGTCGAGATAGGTCGCGGCAATTGACTATTAAATTTTCACGCATTCGTGAATGCTGTTTCAATTCAAAAATTCAACTCTCGCGAGTTGAGAACGAAAGAAACACGGTGAAATGCGGTGGATAGCGTTAAGATCGCGAAATTAAATTTATTTTTACGAAATAAAAATTACAGAGCAAAGCGCGCTGAGCGTCTACACGTTTATATTAAAACATGTTTGCGTTTGCACAAATGTAAACTTTGGCCGTGATAAAATCTTTATTGAGGCAAAAATCGCGTAGTTCTCTTCTTCCAGCTTTATTAAAGTTTTTATGTTTTTGCAAGTTCCTGGAGATGCAGGAACTGGATGGAGAAATACAATTTCCGCGGTCGATGATAAAGGGGATCGTTTCAAGAAAACTGTATTACCTTGAGACCGCCGGTTCTGCCGGCGGGACTATTCGGCAGAACATTCTTTATGAATATCCCAGAAATGTTTTGCGTCTTGCTGGGTCCGCCATTACGCAGATCGACCTGAAACAAGAATCAATCGTTGTTCAATACCTACTTGTTTAAAACTCCCTAACCGGCAGGATCAACAGAACCACGATTAGTCGATTCAGCCGCTGACAATTTCACTGTTTAATCACAGTTGGATTTAATTTAACGTCCTCTATAACTGTCTCTAACTCCGTTAACTCTGAGACCACGTCGCAGACAGTGGGAATTTGAGACAGATATCCAGCCACCCATGATTTCTAAATTCCCCGCTTCAATTTCCTCTCGATCATTTATTCTCATTAATCTTCCATTGGTTTGTTACCGCATCGTCATTGGCTAATCCAATTAAAGCAATTATTTAACATTACAATTCAGCGTGTGCGTTGAATAATCAATTGCGTTTTTCCTTCCTCCCCACTCGCGAGTAGAGAAACAAACGTACTTCTTCATTTAATTAGTAGCAAATTCTATTTTGCGCGATCACTACGTTATTTATTGGTGGATTATAATCTTCGCACCCAATCCTCGTGTCCAAAATCAATTATTTCTCTGTAACTACATGAAGGTAGTTATACAAATAATTATACAGTTTAATTGGATACAGAATCATGTTATACCCAAATGCCCAGTCCGATAATACAATAATTTGTATAAAATGTAATTTTGAAGAGCTTTTAAGGCAACCACGAGCTTGTTAAAACCAAAGCCGATGATCCTATTATACCTTCTTGCCGGTTTAACGTCAAAAAATTACTCGGCTGCGCATTAATGCACTTCAACCGATGCACACGCAACTCGTATCATCGATATGGCTCAGTGTGCATCGATAAAGAGTTAATTGATTAAATTCTATTCGTCAAGTCTAGCAGTCCTGATTCGCATCGTTCGGTGGCGATCAATAAAAAGCATTTAACCCGCGTCGCACATGAGGAATTTATTCGCGAGATCGCAGGGTCGAATCTATTAAACTGATGTTTGAAGCCCGCCATGAGCGCGTGCACGTGACAGTTTATTACTTGTTAAAATCCAACATTAATTATTGGGCTGAATTATTGAATTACAGATGTGGATTATCCAACGTGAGATAGATCCATCAAGATGTTCGTTTACCGACGGCCATCTGGCTCGACCTACTTCGACTTCAACTCTGTTCGAATGTTTCAATAGCTCCGTCGTTGCATTCCCGATTTTAAAGGCGAGCTATAAAACATCAAGGGCGATATCGACGGGGCCAACACTTGTCTGCTCGCAGCTATATTTCGTTGCGCGCTAATAAAAGGAATACGAAAAATTGTGACTGGATAATTGTGACTGCGCGCGAGAAAACGTATATAATAATTCAGGATTATCGTTCTTTGCATCGATTGAATCTCGGGAATTTGTAAAAATAAACCTCGCAACCATATACGATCTTCGCTCATATTGTAAATTAGATTTAAATAGATCAATCCCCATAATAGAGCAATTATATAAGTAATGTAGCAAGAGAAATGCAACGTCATAGTTGGAAGATATTAAATAAAGGATATACTTATAATTCAAGATTGTCTGTCTTTGCATTGATCGAATCTCGGAAATTTGTAAAAATAAATCTCGCGATATACTACGTGCGATATTCGCTCATGTTTTAAATTAGATTTAATTTGATCAATCCCCATAATAGAGCCATTATAAGTAATGTTATAACAAGAAAATTAATATGATGCCATAATTAGAAAATATTAACAAAAAAAAAATGTTAAAAACCGCTACTTAATATCCATTTTTTAAAATTATATTTATGTTTCTTTGTCATTTGAAAGTAATAACAATATACACAAAAAAGTTTGTGTGACAAAGTTTTGTGTGTTTATCAAATATACACTCAGATAGTAACTGAACGGCTATCTGAGTAGTATTTTAAAAAAACAAACATGATTGATAACATTCTAGAGTTTGTTTTTTTTATAAACATACATTACCAATGATTTGATGTACACAAAACTTTGTAACCGAACCTCTTTATTGCTTACCCCTGTATATACTGCTAGATCGCATCTCTAAACATAAACTACATCGTACCTTTCCACCAACGATGCTGAGTCCTAGGCTGGTCTTCGGCTCTCTGTATATCTCCACCAGTCTCTCGGGACCCCAGTGCTTCGACCAGGTGACGTCGCCATCATGCTCCCTGTGTGTGACGGTCATATCCCCTTTTCCCTCCACGAAGACGACAGTCGGAAACTTGCGTGGCGAACTCGAGCTCGACGAGGGCGAGCTCTCGGTCTTCCTAGAGATCGAGCTGACTGGTCTACTCTGATGCGCGTGCTCCGGACGATCGGCGCTCGCTTGATCAACCTCGAGCAGCTCGTCGTCGCTGCATTGGATTGCCTTCGACTCCTGGTAGGTCTGTACCTCGACCTCACGCCGCGGACTACGCAGAATGTCTTCTCGGGAAGAGGATCTCGATCTAACGGACGTTCTCGTAGAGATGTCCTCAGGGATGCATTGAATGCTCTTCGATTCCTGCGTCTGATCCGCAGCGTCGCCTCTCGTGAGATCACCCAGATCATCCAACGAGCACTGAACGCTTTTATTCTCGCCCTGAGTCTGTGTTTGTACTTCCCGTCTGGGACTCTGGAAATATCTCTGGCCGATGTGGAAGGGGCTGATCCTGGGTGGTTCCTCGTACGGACTTGTCACACTTTGTTCAGGGCTACACTGTGTACTCTTAGACTCCTGCACAGTCTGCGTTTGTACATCGCGCTTCTCCTTGGGTGAATATTGCGTTTCTTTGAAGCTGTGCTGGATCTCGTCAAGACTTTCCTCGTAAACTTCGCGGGTCCAACTCACGGGTACTTCCTCAGGCAGGTCCTCTAACGAGGAGGTGAATATCTCGTGAAACAAATGATCCGATTGGCTCTCGAGTGTTTGACTTTGATACTCGAGCGAGTGCTCCTTGCAGATCAGATCCTCCTCGTGCTTACAAATCGCTTCCTCCAACAACGGCGAGCGTTTCTCCCGCGAAGGGGTCGTCTGCTCATAACCACGTGCCTCCCTCGTGTCCTTAGCTTCTTGTCGTGATAATGGCTCCTTTTGTTCTTCTCTTCGAGGATCTTGCGCCGGAATCGCACTGTCGGCAACTTCGCGAGGAATTGCGAGGTCCTTCTCAACACGGATGGATCCCTTGGATTCGCGTCGAACTTGGAACTCACTGGAGAAAACCAGGAAAACCAGAGGTCACAGAGAGGAAGGAAAATCCACGGTCAGTCGACAGCTTCGTGTCTAGAGTTTTAATGATGCAGCAAAAGGCCGCCGCGCAAAGCCGTCGTTGACGGTAAATGAGTCTTCGACGTTGTTATCTGATCAGACGTAATTGCGTACAATGGCTTTCTTAATTGCAGCGATCCGCTTGTTATGTAGTCAGCGGTATAAAAAGACTGGCCGATTGCTGAAGTCATTTGGTACTGTCGAATACTAGACACTCGATATAAATCAAAAGCGATTGCTCTTATCGGTAGAATTATGTCTCTTCAGTACACGAAAGTAAAATTAAAATAATTCAGCCATTTATATTCTTCGCGAGCGACAAAGATACTTTTATATTCTACTATTCATGAAAATATGGATTGAACCAAAAATGAATACGTTTGCGATGATTTATGATAAAATGTAAATAATATCTTCTTTTTTAACCCTCTGTCCGCAATTCGGATCTTTTTGGCACAAGCGAAATTTTATTTCCAAATTTTTTCATTTTTGCTCAAATTTCAATTTTTATTAAATGAAGATTTTAACATTTAAATTAAAAAACTATTTGGAAACGTGGAGATGTTGAAAAGTAATTCTGAATTTTTCCACATTTTTTGAAAGTCGACACTATTAAAGGAGCAATGGTTCTTTTGGGTTAAAATAATATTTTGTTATTTCTAGCTTCTTGTGGTTAAAATGTAAATCAATCCATGTCTGTGGTTAATTTGAAAGTCCCTATTAATGTCCATATTAATATATGCACTTATTTCAGTAAAATTTAATATTTCCTTAATTTAAACTGTTTAACTCTATCGTTTTAGTTAAATTAATGACATGTTGAATAAGAGCAGTGATGACTACAAAAATGATTAAAATAAATCAAATTGTATATAATTTTACATTATAAATATAATAGTATAGAATAGTAAAAAAACTTGGATTGGACAAAGAATTCACATTGCAGATGAAAGGTTAATTGGCTCAACAAGGAATATTTGTACGAACGCAAGATTGACATAATTAATACGAGAAGTAACAGGACGTGAAGGATTAAAATATTTTCTCATTTCTTTATCCTCTTTGCCTCTTTATAAAATAAAAATGCAATTAAAAGCATAAAAGTTTTACATCATGATATCTCTCACCGAACCTATTTCTCGTAGCATGCAATTGAAATGAGAGGATTGTATAACGGATGATAATATAGATGGGCTTATTGTTTGTCTGTGTTGGAGCGATATTCTCGATGTGGAACGTGCGCACATTTTCGATATGTACACACGCGAACACAGTATAAATCCCGCACGGAAACGTGACAGACCTACCACTGTATTTGCTTTTAGCAGAAAATCTCCCATTCGAATGGTTATGATATCTCGACCAAAAATATCTCGAGATTTTTCTCGAGCCTCGGATTCGTTTGGAATATATAACACTAATACTATCGTATCCATTATCAACATGAAATCCTATTTTCAGACTTTGCTGCTGTAATGCATTTGTTTGATACGCATGTTTAACAAAAACAAGAAATCTAAAATGCGAAGTATGAACTCGTGCGAACTCTGATATTTCTCACGTTGCGGAAACTTGTGGGAGCTCGGTTAAAATTTTCTAACGTATTCGTTGCGTGGCATTCTTCCAAATCAATTTTGTAATAGCGGATATCTAATTTATACAAAATCTACATACCGTTAGATATTAAAGAAGCAATTATAACTTAATTTTTTGACTTAAATAACATTGTCATTTTTACTATTAGGTGTTGGAATTAATTCGTAGCGTTTTATAAGTGATGGGAAGTACTTTCATTAATGTATTTTTTAATGCTCATGTGAAATAAATAACATTCTTTCATTAAAAAACGCTACGAATTAATTCCAACACCTAATATCATTTTTACTATCATATGTGTGTCAAAATGTAAGTCAATCCATTTCCGTGTTAGTTTGAAAATAAACCATTTATAAATAAGTGCAACCAGCAATGTATAAATGTATAAATGGTAACCTCTAAGTGCACTTAGAGCAAATAATAAACTAAATTTAATATATTTATTTTTTTGTAGTGAAATTGTTCAATTCCATTATTTTAGTTACATTAGCACATTGAGTTGAATAAGAGCAGTGGTCTCCATAGAAATGATTAAAAATGACTCAAATTTTGGATACAATTTCACATTGAATCTAACAGTGTACAGATTTGTTTAACAGTTTACGCAGAGCAATCTGAGAATCTTTACGTAACTCGCAATTCTCTAATTTAAATAAACTTCAAAACAACTTCATCTACAAAACATATTAAATACAAGAGGAATTTCCCTCGCGGCGTGTTTATACATCTATTATAATTGCAATGCGAGAACGGCGAGACCAATTAAGCTGATTGTTTCTCGCGAATTTTATCACGCGAGATATCGAAAAAGAAATTCGCATCAGTTGTTTAGTTACTCGTAGATTCTAATGATAAACGACGCTTACGGAACGTTCTCCAACTTCCGTTATCCAAACGGGACGCGTCGTTTCCGCTTTCGGTCCCGACGGGTCTATCCGACGGATCGCAAACGTCTCTCGAGAATGAGCGAAAAAGTAAGAGTATACAAGTGGGCACTTGTCGGGAAGCTCGTTGGAGAACGCAACGCAAGAGGAACTCCGGACACACGAAAGTCTTTTCGTTTCCTTACGTTGCGCGAGAGAGCCCGAGGTGTTCACTGTCTCGTGTGTGTCTCTGATAGCCGGTACTCACTGCCGTGCGTCACTGCAACCTGGCTTCCTCTGATCTAATAAATAACACTCGTCGGAGCGCATGCACACGTACACGTGCACGCACACGAATGATGAGACGGCGCGCAAACGCGACGATAACGTGCCGAGCGTGGACGCACGCCGACTGCCGTGAAGGCGCGGGCGACTACTAGTGCGACTACTCGCGAGACCGCGAGAGTAGAATACTGCGTGCGCGCGCTCTGCGCCCGTGAGGGAGTTGATTCCTGCGTATGTGCGTACACGCGTGCATAGCTGCTTAAGCTGCCGCCCATTGAGCGCGCGTATGCACGTGCACGCGGTTCACCTCTGTGCGTGACTCGTCTACAAGGTGTGCAGTGCTCATCTATAATTCTTAAGCCCATTCTATAATTGAGTAAATATAGTTTGAGTGGCGCTGCAAGAATTGACCAATTACGGTTTAATATTTTTCTCATATTCTACTGTGATTAGTCAAATTCAAAGCTGCGTTTTTTTATACGGCCACAACATTTTACAACATGTAAAACTCTCTTCTATTCGCTCTTTCCCCTTCAATTCCTTTGTTTCGCTCTTTTTTGCCGCTATTAAGTTCGTATCAACACGCTTTAAATTTATTTACTTTAATTGTCAGTATTTTCTATATTAATTCCGATCTTTTTAATTATCTCCGTTTACTATGTAATAAGTCTGCGTTTATTATTTTAATCATGCTTTTTTTGAGTATAATTGCAAAAATAACATTGTACAATATTTACTAAGCAAGAAATCTTATCTTTCTGGAATTGTATTTTTTTTTTAATTTATAATTTGTAATTCGTTTCGTTTTCTGGGAAGTAGTAACAGTAATTATGCTCAAATCATTCTTGGCCTCTACCTTCTTAAAATTATCGAGTTATTTACTAAGCAAGAAGCTTTCTGGAATTGTACTAATTTCTCTGTAATTTGTAATTTGTAATTTGTTTTCTGGGAGGCTTAATAAGCAGTTTTGCTAGTGCCTCACCATTTGTGTATGCTTTGTAATTTTTCTATACACAATAAAATAAATAATAATAATTAGTCAATTTTTACAACTACACCACTTAAAGTATATTCTACACTTGCGTAAGCATTGTAAATAGTTGTAGTTGTAAGAATTGATTAATCACAGTCGAATTTGAAAAGAATATTCGACCGTGATTAGTCCATTCTTACAACTACAACTTTATAACTTTACAACTCTACAATTACGCTTACGCCAATGAAAAATGAACTTTATGGGCCGTCTACAACGGGAATGATATCGTGTAGTGAGCTATAAACTGTAAAAAATTGATTAATCATAGTCGATTATTCTCCTCATTTAACTATAGGTCGATTTCTTACCGCTTACAACTTAATACACCATATTATTCCTATTGTAGACGTCCTTTATAACGACAGTTCGATATCGTTACGTTGTCATTATGAAACTTTTTTTCCCATACATGCTTTTTTATCTATGTAACGACAATATAACAATACCGACACTATCGTTAAGAGTTGTAGAACTGGAATACTGGAAAGCTTATGTAATGACAATAAGACGGACTTCAAAGTTTTGACATAAACGTTTACGGGAAGTGAGTTAACTGATTCATCTAAATTCGCAGTCGACATCAATTAAAAGTAATATAACATTTATGTTATAATTTTGAACTCAAAAATGTAACTATTATGTAATACTATGTGTCATATTACATTTATATTGTCAAATTCAAAATTGTAATATTATATAATGTTATGTTATGTTAATTTTACTTACTGTTGGGTTCATTTGAAACTGAATCATGAAGCTGAACACTGCGTATTAAATTAGCATAAATTATAGCCAATATGAGTTATCTTTAAGCATTTCTTTAATTTGCTTCTTATTTAATATGTCGTTAATTTAAATAAAATAATGAAGTTAAACAATATATTTCAAGAAAATTATATTAAATTTGTATTTAAATTTAACATTCCAAAAAACGTTTCATAAATTTCAGAAAATCGTTTTGTCAGAAAATCTCAAAAACCTTCTGAAAAACTTTCTTAGGCCAATATTCATAATTGGTTCTTACATTTAAGACCGTCTTAAGATGCACTGCTTTAAGATGTCATAAGTCAATTACAAAGCCGTAATAACATCTTTATAAGACATTACTCGAGACAGTCTTAAAGTAAGAACGGACCGGCATTGGACATTTATATTACGTGTGTC